CTCTGGAGTACTTTGTTGATATCTCAAATGCGTCTGGAGATCTGGGAGGCTTCTTGCTGTCTGCTGACATTCAAATAATGGAGGTCTATGGTGCCCGAGGCAGAAAGGTCCATAAAAGTCCACAAAAAACGTGTCAATATTCCTCCATACTGCTCGTCCAATGTATTCCAAGTGTCCTGAGTGGGTAGCATCCAGAATTTACTCGAAACGAAGTCATTTAGAATGTTTTTAGACAGTAGTGTATAGGATTTCCTGAAAGCGCGCACATGTGCGTTCACGACGCTACGGAAGCCGGCAGACCAAACCAGATGAAAATGTGCTGTTTACCAGTGCAAAGAAAGAAACAACGAAATAAAAATGTCTGAGGACTTCAGTGTTGAGGAAGAGCATGAGTTCTTTGCTGAGCTGAATGCGCACTTTCATCTGGTTTGGTCTGCTGCGGTTTCTGTAGCGTTGTGAACTCGCAGGCGCGCGCTTTCAGTAAATCCTATACACTACTGTTTATGCTCTAAAAACATTCTAAATGACTTCGTTTCGAGTAAATTCTGGATGCTACCCACTCAGGACACTTGAAATACATTGGACGAGCAGTATGGAGGAATATTGACACGTTTTTTGTGGACTTTTATGGACCTTTCTGCCTCGGGCGCCATAGACCTCCATTATTTGAATGTCAGCAGACAGCAAGAAGCCTCCCAGATCTCCAGATGCATTTGAGATATCAAAAAAGTAATCTTTGTAATCTGCTGTTACAGTTTTTCTATTTTGAAATGCAATTTCAGCATGCAAGAAAGCAGACCTTAGGACTGAATTGCAACACCACGGTCTTAGAGATGTGCATGATGTTCCACAAATGTGAGAAACTCAGGAAGATATTTGTAGTTAGTAATCTCAGAAGGCTCAGAACATAGGACCCAGAATTCAGGTGAGACAGACAGTGATATAATCAAAAGAGAGTTTATTAAAGTAAAGTACATCTGCTCTTCTCACTGGAAACTCTGCAGGAGTAGAGGCTCAGGTCAGTGACTTCAAAACTCTAGCGATGGATAATAATAAGTATGAAAGCCACCAACCTGGCAAAGTTCAGTCTGTGCCCAGAATGAGTGTTACCCTGAGAAGCAGAACTCCTTTGCTTTTTACTGAGCCGGCACCAGAGATCCTGGAGAGAAGAGAAGCAGCATCCTTTAGCAGCCAGAGCACGCATAGGAACTGAAAGATCCAGGAAAATCAGAAGTCCTAGGGTAGAAAACAGATCAGGAACCGGCAGAACGAAACACAGGGAACGTTAGAGAAATCTTGCAAAGAAACTTGGCACTAAAGGCTGGGGTCCAGAGACTTAAATAGCAGCAGGAACAGGTGTGTGTGATAAGAGCTAATGACAGAAGGGTGGAGCAAAGCAGAGAAGAGCAACAAGGCAAAAACCCAGCCTAAAGGTGCCAAGATCATTACAAGTACATTTTATCAAGCTGTGAATTGTTACTATGTTACCTAGTTTTTCAGTGGGATGAGTTCTCAAATCAGAGTTGTGGTTTCGTTGTTGTTGTTTTTTGGGTTTATTTTTAAATAAGAAATAATAATAATACAATAGCTGTCATTTTTTGTGGTATTTTCATGCTGAGGTTCTTTACATGTGGTGTAGAATCTGTAGAGGTTGGTTTTATGCATCAATATATCAGATGGTTTCTGAAAGTTACATGATTCTTAGAAATTACTCTTAAATTTACACAGAAATATACTGATATTAGAAAAGTTAATTTGGACTATTGGAATAATGAGTTTTTTTAATATTTAACTAGAGTAGATGTTTTACCAAGTTACTTTTACTTGTAGCTAAGTAAGATTTGACTATGAGTATCAATACTTTCACTAAAGTACTACTGTTGAGTATTTCATCCACCGCTGGTAGATGCTGATGACTGTAGGCAGGAAGACTCTGATGTAGTGGTCTGTCTTAAGCAGTTCTGGAGAGGCTTCTGACTGAAATCACTCCAGTTGTATAAGAACCAGAAGGAGGATGCTCAGATTTCTCCACTGTTTTCTTCATTTTATGAAGACTTATTTTTGTAAAATTATTTCAAAACGACAATTATATGAAACACAGCTTTTAGAGGGGATGTTGTCTCATATCTAAACTCATGGAGTTGATCAAACTCTACTGCAGCTGTGAACTGTGGGGCTTTAGTCAGAGTACGGGTATCAATTTTGATATCCTTGCACTTTGAATACTGCATGGGATCAAGGGTGTGGAATCCAGTTCTCTGCTATGTCGGGACAGTGTGTTGCTTTTGCTGTGACAACATCTTTATTTCTGTTTCTCTTCATATTTAGGCTTTAATTTGTTAAGCTAAAATGGTATTAAAATACTCTATTAGAGCCACAAGTTGGTTGGATAATTTTTAGTGAAATTAATCTCAATAGGTCAACTACTAAATTCCACCTTCAATTTCAAGCATTTAGATGCCAAAGTGACTAAAACATGGTCAGCGTTGACAAAGCCTCCTCATGGTGTTGCATAGAATTAGGTGTTACTGACTTGTTGATGCATTATTCGAATAGCAGTTGTGTAAACACTGTATCAGTCACACAAATTTGCAGTTTCCACAGACTGCGTAGAATGTCCAAAAAGACCAATGGCGGTGTGCCATTGCTGGTGATCAAATGGTATATGCTAAAGTGTGAATTGTGTAGGAAGGTGATGACAGAGAGTCTACCAAACAACATCTTATCGTCCTACGCTGGTGAACTGGAACTGGAAGTGAGAAGGGAAGTTCAGAGTTTAGTTTAGGCTCAGTGGGGAACTTGAGCGACGACTTGCAAAAACAGAGACTGAAACGGGACTCACGTTTCCAGGGAAAAGGTGTCCTTCCCAGAATCCAGTCGGTGTGGGTTAATCCAGAACTTGGTTTGACTCGTTGGAGGGCGGACATGGTTTTCTCGGGTTTGGTTGGTTCCTGAGGAGCAATGGAGCTGACTGCCACTTAAATTTCCTGAAGTATTTGAACGGTTCGTGTGGAGATTTATCCCCTGCTCTGTGTGAAGCTCAAACAATCCTTTCAGGGGGGGAAGGTCCAGACATCCAGTTTGCATCCCCTGCTCAGTGTGAAGTTCAAACGATCCTTCCAGGGGGAGAAGGCGAATGAAAAGGGCCAATGAGAACCGGGCCCTTTTCATGTAATTTTTCTTATCTTTTCTTGTCTTTTTGTATCTTTTCCTGGAGTCCATTGACCAGTGGATTGACCAGAAGGAAAGAGACAACTAGTGACTCTGGATGATCCATAGATTGTGTAAAGAGGGATGATCAAATGATGATCAAATGCTCCACCCCTCTTAATTTTAATTTTATATAAATATATATATATATATCTACCAGAGTTAGCGACAAATTTATCAGCAATTAATAAATATGTCTTCTATTGTAGTTTTAAAAAACCAAAAGCAAATAAATGATATTCTGTGCAAAGCTTGCAGCTGGCAACTTCGATAGCTTGAAATAAATATCAAATTGTGCATACCTTTGCCAATACGTGCAGTTTATATAAAATAAAGATCACCTGTTATTGTCTTGTTCAGTATCAAACTGTGCACATAATAAAGATAGTTTCCCTGTTTGAACAACACTATTGAGCGAACATGAGGTGAACAACAAAGCTGTAGAAACAACCGCTTACTCAACACTTCAAAACAACATCAGACATCGGTAAGTCTCAGAAAGAGGACACATTTCAAAGCTACATTTCATTCCTCAGACCAACCATAGTCCCTGAAGAACTCCTTTGGATGCGTATACATCAATGCCTGAAATGGACTATCAACACTAAACTACATCACAAACCCCTGCCTTGAGAAAGTTCAAAAGCTTTGTAAGTCAAAATAAAGCTGATGGTTCACTTCCCCATAGCCCTGAGATGGGCTAAATTGGGACCCCCTTCCACCCACAAACATTTGTATATTTGGCAGTAAGATAGAGGGAGTTTCTAAATTATTTTCAACCATAGTAACATTCAAATCACCTGTATGTGTAGAGTTAGTACATGATTATTGCACATATGTGGTCCGATGTCAGATAACCTTCTTTTATGTGCTTACTTACTTATCATAAATAGAAACAGTTGTTGTTTATTTTATTTATTTATTTTTTTTATTCTATTAGACTACATCCACAAATTTCAGTGTTTCATTTTTATTTTTGGTAGGGGGTACTGTGAGAGACAAACACAAAGTACAGATTGAATGGAAGCTAAAATATTCTTCAATGAAAATCTAGAATATGCTGCATGCATTTGCTATTGCCCTGTTTAGAAGTCCAGGTATAAGTTTTCCACTGTGCATATTTTTTTTGCCTTAAGGCCAAAAATGTTTATTTTTTATATTTGAATTGAACATTGTTTCATATGTTTAATGGTTGATATATTGTGTTTCATAAGATTTAAACTTGTCCAGATCTCTATTCTTGTTCTGGCTGATGTATAACTTTGTCTTCATCTTGCTGTTTGTTTTTCTTATGTTCTTTAATGGACCTCTAGGGCTTCAACTGGATTTTATTGAGGGGCGTCAAAGTAAAGGGGATTAATACAAATAATCTTCTCTCTAACAAACTGTTATATGGTTCTTGCATCAAAGTTGACGCTCTCTGCAAACCCCCAGCCAATCATAATTCAGGAAATCATCAAAATTCCAGGGCAGGAGGAATGCAGTACAGTCACACATAAAGCATGTTAAATAATCATCTGGGTGGCTGCAAATGCATAAATCATACAGTCAAATGTAATTTAATCCATTTCAGCCCACAGGAATCTACATTTTTTTATGTTAAACAGTGGGATTGCATTAAATTGAAGCTCACCCTTGGTTCTTTTTGCTGTGCAGTCTTACTGTAATGTTAATACTCATTTTAAAAAGTGGTATCACCCTCTTGAGTCTGTCAGATAATCATATTCAATCTCACTTACATGATATCCTCATCTATATCCCAATTGAGTGTATTTTTTTCTGTTTTGCAGGTTCTGGCATGGCGAGTACAGAGTGGCAGTGAACATCAATGACTATCTAGACATCTATTGTCCTTTCTACGAGGGTCCTCCATCCCATGGGCGAATGGAGCGCTACATCCTTTTTATGGTCAACCACGAAGGCTACACTTCCTGCCAGCACAGAATGCGTGGCTTCAAACGCTGGGAGTGCAACCGCCCTAGTGGTCCTGATGGCCCCCTGCGCTTTTCAGAGAAGTTCCAGCTCTTCACTCCGTTCTCGCTGGGCTTTGAGTTCAGGCCGGGGCACGAGTACTACTACATCTGTAAGCTATCAGCTAGCTGTCACCATGTAGATGCTTTTAAACAGCCAAAGGCTGCAGATTATGAATATGCTAGAATGCGTGTCTGTTGGGCTTTCATCGTTACTCCTGCTCTACATGTATGTCTAAACAGCATGTAAATACACAATCAGCAGGAGAGGGAGTGATTTCTCAAACAGATTCCTTGTTACTTAAAGACATACAGGTGTGAATAGACACGCCTCTTCTGTCTCTCCTCTCTCTATATCCTGATGTATCTCTCCTCGTGTCTTATATCATAAGTGGTGTGCTCAGCAAAGTGGTAAAAATGTCACCAGGGGTACTTTGTAATCATTTTTATATTAGCTGTATTGATGTTTCTCCTCACTTCAACAAGTGATGCATTAGTGACACAAATGAGCTTTACACCTAGAGAATGTTTTTCTGGATCAAATTAAAAGGCTATCATTCCCCCGAGCTCACATGGGACAGATGGAAATTAGGATGCACTCATACTCTCATTTTTTTCAGCAGAACAGTGTGCAATGTTCACTATATATCCACTTTGACTTTTAAAACTAATATTAGTTATAAGTCATTCAAAATCATGTTAAAAATTTGTTTTGCAGCCTTTTCTCTTATATACTGGCTTAAAATGCTACGAAACACAATTTAGTTTATTTAATAAATTTTTTATATATTTCAAAGTAGGGCATCTCATGGCATTTGTGGTTCGAGACCAAATTTACCTGAGGGGGGAGAGTGGACTTCTATTTTTTTTTTTTAAGGGGCGCAGAGCTAAAGCAAAATACAAAATTATATGGATGCATAGATTCAGGAATAGCGTTGAGTTCAAGGTTTTATTAGTCTTTTAAAACCTCAAACTCAATGCTATTCCAGACATTCTGAACTGAAAAAGCTTCCTGGATGGGAAGCAAAACGTCTTCAAACTTGGAAACAAAGTCCAGTGGATTGTTTTTTAATTATATTTTTTGGAATGACTTTGACCTGGATGACTGAGAATCTTCACCAGCATGATGCAGAATCTAAGGCCAATTTTTGACCCAAGAGAAACAGCCATGACAGATGTTATACTGTATTAATGGTACAACACATGGATTTTAAATCATTGTTAAAATAAAAATTAAATGTAAAAAAAGAAAATAGACCCAAGAGACCAGTCAGTAATGATTTCTGTGTCAAAGGATATCATCATTTGATATAAGTCTTTAGTACAGGGGCTTTAACAGGGGCCAGAACTAGTCCTACAAGGATACTGGCTCCGGTCTGCGATGTCTCAAAGCACTTTACAGATTGACTTCCATCAGATCCAATCTACAGCTATTGATCTATATTTTTGGAAAATTGTCTAAGCAAAAAATGAGCTGATGGTTTTCATGACTTCCTCTAAAATAACACAGACAGTCAAAACCTAAGAGACATTGGAAGCTAAGCTTAGCCAGGGACTAGGAACTGTTTAGAAATGAATTTTGTTGTGATCCACCCAGAGTAGGAGAGAGCGACACATTCAGAGATAACAAGAAGGCTGAATCTTTTACCTTCTATAATCATAAAATAGCACAACTTGTAAAGTTTAAAGGTACCTTTTTTAACTTTTCAATTTTATTCTTGGATTTAGAAAATTTGTCAGGCTTCTGAAAATCTTAGATTTAACTTAAGTAACTAAATTCCCTAGAAATTACACAAGGAGGTATGCTAATAACTCTGCTAACAAATTAAAACTGAGCAGCGTCTCTGTCAGTAGACTGCATGTCTGAATTTCTCTAGAGAAGACTGAAAAACTGGCCTTGACCTTTTTTAGCAGCAGATTATGTATTTCAGCCGTGACTCATAACAGGATGAAGGTTCTGAGCCACTGGTTTCTGTTCGGCATGAGAGTAGAACAGGTTTATCTGCTGAGTTTCACTGCTTTTGGACAGTAATTCCCATGTTACATTGACATCACCCTGGTTTAGAGAGGGCTCTCAGTAAAAAAAAAAGTCATTGACAGATAATCTTAAAGGCTTTGATCCACTTATTCTAGGCAGTTCTCTTTTCGGATCCTAAATGTCATGGTGAAAAACTTTAATATGATAAGTGAGACTCAGAGACAAAGTGAAAACAAAGCAGAGTCATTGTGTCATTGTATTATTGCCAGTATCGGCAAGCAGACAGCCAGCCTGCTAATGAGGCAAAGGTAAATGGCTGCCCACAAGCCTACACCCCCCACCCCCCACCCCCACACACACGCACATACATACTCGTTCTGCCATCGTAGTGAGGACAATGTGTTGACTTCCATTGATTTTCAGATATTTTCAACCCTTTCTCTGCCCTAATCCTAAAACTAACCCTAAACCTAACCATTACCAATGCATACCTCACCCTAACCCTAACCAATTGGCACCTTAGTCCTAAACCTAAGCATTAGCAAAATAGCATATGAGGACAGGCAAAATGTCCTTACTTTGCAAAAACTAATCTTCAATTTGATAGTGTAATTGGATTATTGGTCCTCACTCTGAGGGCTTGACAGGCACACTCCCTTACACCCCCACATATATTTTCTTTACAACTCAAGTAAAGGTGGATTTACAATCAGAAACCAGGTTGTCTGTGTGTGTCGCAGTGAATGCAAATGTGCCCCGCCGTTGTGGAAAACGACTTATGAAGTTGGACAAGCTAGAGGAGCGAGGTGCACGAGAACGCTGGAACCGTTTTTCCACCTGGATCCCCGTTCTTTTTGGCCCTCATCTCCCTCCGTTGTCACACAAACTTGCCCCGCACTTCCTCACCGCCTCGGGCGTATCTAGACCGACAGCTAGTTCCTGATTGGCCCTCTTGCATTGTGGCGTTGAATAACATAGCGCAGACCATGCTTCAATATTGGGCATAAATCAAAAATATCTGCGACAAGCTCACTGTGAAGAACTGCTGAGGGAGCATACACAGGCCTTAAGGACTCTTTGACCCCTGCTGACTTATAGTTGCTGACTAGTATTGTGTTTCTTAAACCCATGGGGTTGTATGTGCTCAGATTAGTGCTTTTGAGTATTTTGAATACATGAGTGTAAGGTTTGTCCATGGGGGATTGTATTGAGGAGTGTTCTTAGGGGTCAGCCGTCACACAATCATGAGTCTGTGAAAGGCCATGTCCGTCATGTTGATTGACAGCCCCTCTCTGTGTTTCTGTGTCTTTCTCTCTGTTTGCAAGCCGAGACACTTCGCAGACTGAAACTCAGGTGCTGGTCAGTCCTGTTGTGGAACCGCTACCCATGACGACTTTAAGCACCTGTCCTTTCGGATGAACCGCTGTTTCTGTTTGGGTTCTTTTTTCCTCACTGACTTGTGAAACACCTTGAATGTTGATGGTGTTTTGCGGCCAGGCCTGCCAGAGCGACTCTGGCATAGTTTGCATGTATGCAGATGGGTGTGTTTTGTCATGTGCTTGACATGTTGACAGGTCGTTCCACCCCACACTTGCTTTTCCCAGCTGGCATCTGATGGGGATGAGTGGTTTTAAATAGGTTTTCAGATGAAGACTGGATTGTGGATGTGCTGGGAAACAGAGGTGCTGGGAAAGTTGATAAAAACAAGGAAAAGGGCAAAGTTGAAACTTTGGGAAGAGCGGTCAAAAGAAAACGTTTTTTTCTGGATGTAACAAAATGGCTGAAACTGTCAAAAGAGGAAAACAAGATAGTTTATTTTCAGAATATAAGGAATGGAAAAGTTGCATTGGTCTGTCAAGGGTAAAGGAGGTAAAAGACAGAAGGATGGATCAAGGGAGGAGCTGATGACAGACGAGGGAGTAAAGGGCAAGAGAAGGGTCACATTTATTTCCTGTGCACTGTGGATTTTGATGATGGTCTACTGTGAGGTCACCATAGTCTCTGGTTTTGCAGACCTCCTCACAGGAGAAGAACAATAGGTCTTCTCACACGTCTCTGCATCCCATCAATGTGTGCGCACATTTTTGCGCACCTCTGTGTGTGGGCAGCCTGAGTATGTGCATATCAGCATGTGTGAGTTGTCGAACTCTGGCCACCATCTCCTCTGAGGTCTAGAGCTCTATTTCACTTCAGAGGAAGGTGGGCTAAAAAAAAAGCTTGATTCAATTTATTTCACTTTACTTTGAAGTTTGTATCATTGGAACTTTTTACACTTATTCTCTTTCTTTTTAGGGGGTAGAGATATAAAAGCCCAGGCTGCTCAGTGACACAGTAGTTAACACTGTCACCTCACAGCAAGTGGGGACTGCATCTGTTGGGAATTTGCATGGATTTCCTTTCCAATTCCAAAGTCATTCAAGGCAGGTCGATTTGAGAGGCAGTTATTTCCCTTAGGTGTGAATGTGAGTGTGACTGAATCCCATTGAGCAGGCTGATCCATTACAGACTTGTTTACATTGCTCAATGTGTTTATAGAATCTCACAAGCTGGGGAACATTGGTTCAGGGACATTTTAACAGACTTAAAATAACAAAGTCAGGCAAATAAAAGACCAACCTCATCAGTAAGGTTGTTATCTTCATACAATTCGATTGATTTTATGACGATTCTCTAAGAAAAGTATAAAACAGTGCCTACAACAGTGCAGAAGATGTCAAATCATAGAGGTCTTTTTTAATTTTCAAAAATAGGAATTTAAACACTGAGGCAAAAAAAATGCATTTGTCTCCCTTTACTCTGATTTGCCTCAATGATATCCAGCCTTCAGATGTCCCTAATTTATACACATATTCAACCTAGATGTTATTTATTCTAACCGTAATTCCAGCTGTTATGGTTGTTAGAGACAAACGGGAAAAAAACATCTTCATGAAGAACAATGAATAAGGTAAATATATAAGGAAGGAAGTTGCAGAGAAGTTTGAAGCAAGGTTGTACTAAGAATTGAAATCACATAGAACTGATATAAAAATCAAAGGGTATAGTTCAGCAGTAAACCTTTCAACAAATGGTTATTTAAATGAACTGAGAAGCTGACCAACCAAAGTATTAATTAGAAAAGTAGCAGGCAGTCCATAGGAGCATTCAAAACACCTTACCACCACCACACCAAATAAATCCAAACACACCATAGATATCATGGTGCCAAGATCATGCTGTGGGGACGCTTTAGCAGGGAAGCTGGACAGAACTAATGCGTGGATTATTCTTGCAGAAAACCCAATAATCCTGGTGTAAAATCTGTTTAAGGTTGCTATACTTTTAAGACAGATTCAAATCTTGCCTTGCGGGAGCGCCATCATTTTAAATACAGCCAGAGAATAGGAATTGCTAAGATCGGAGCATATTCTACAGTCAAAGTCCAAACATCGATCCAATCTGTGGCAAAAGTTGAAATTTGATTGAGAATAAGTTATTTTCCAAATAGGAATAGGCTGAAATTAGTAGTGTAAATAAATGATTGACTCATAATCAATTTTGGTCAGAAAAATTGTTCCACAGGATTAACTGATCACATCCACTGTCAAACTAGGGGGGCATTATCCTGCAATTTAAAGATATTTATCTGCTCCAACATACCTGAAGGAAATGGCTTGATTACCTCCTCATTTATAGTCAAGTTCTCAGCAGTCCTGCTAAAGACTGTTGTTTGGTTAAGGCGTCTTAATGCAGAAACGTATCAAAAAGGTGCAGGACTAGAGTCTGACACATTTAGACCAGGCATGTCCAAAGTTGGTCCTGGAGGGTAGCTGTCCCACAGGTTTTGGATGTTTCTGGGCCTCAACACAACTGATTCTGATGATTGCAGTTCAGAAAAGGATTGTTTATCAGCTATTAATGGAAATCAGTTGAGGGCAGAAGAGCATCTCTGAACGCACAGTACATCAAACTTTGAGGCAGATGGGCTACAGCAGCAGAAGACCACACCGGGTGCCACTCCTTTCAGCTAAGAACAGGAAACTGAGGCTACAATTTGCACAAGCTCATCGAAATTGGACAATAGAAGATTGGAAGAACGTTGCCTGGTCTGATGAGTCTCGATTTCTGCTGCGACATTCGGATGGTAGGGTCATAATTTGGCGTCTACAACATGAAAGCATGGATCTATCCTGCCTTGTATCAACAGTTCAGGCTGGTGGTTGTGGTGTCATGGTGTGGGGAATATTTTCTTGGCACTCTTTGGGCCCCTTGGTACCAATTGAGCATCGTTGCAACGCCACAGCCTACCTGAGTGTTGTTGCTGACCATGTCCATCCCTTTATGACCACAATGTACCCAACTTCTGATGGCTACTTTCAGCAGGATAATGCGCCAAGTCATAAAGCTGGAATCATCTCAGACTGGTTTCTTAAACATGACAATGAGTTCACTGTACTCAAATGGCCTCCAAAGTCACCAGATCTCAATCCAATAGAGCATCTTTGGGATGTGGTGGAACGGGAGATTCGCATCATGGATGATCAGCCGACAAATCTGCGTCAACTGTGTGATGCCATAATGTCAATATGGACAAAACTCCCTGAGGAATGCTTCCAGCACCTTGTTGAATCTATGCCACGAAGAATTGAGGCAGTTCTGAAGGCAAAAGGGGGTCCAACCCGTTACTAGCATGGGGTACCTAATAAAGTGGCCCGTGAGTGTATATAGTTCCCATTTAGCCGAGCTGCATCGAGGAGCAGCGTCAAATTCTCAACTGAAAATGCCAGATATGCTTGGAAGGTGGGCCTGGAAAAGACAGGGTACCAATTATGAGAGCTTTCATTTGTAAATGTACTTCACGGTGCCCAGTTTTAACAACTTTCTTGAAAGCAAACAGAACCCATTCACAAAGATGGCTAACAACACAAAGGTTTGCTGGCAAATCTGACAGTTTGGCAGAGTGACAAACCCTGTTTTTAAATAACAACTCTATTCATGGAGGACTATTATGAGTGTTTAACGTATTCTATTCATCTTTTATCCTAATTTGATAACCTAACAGGTTCCCGTTTCTTTTTGCTTTATAAATATGTTTAGGTTTAATATTCTGTAGAAGAGTACAATAAATTGTTAAAATGTATTCATGCATTCCTTTTTTTAAATTCAACACTGTTGAAAAAATAGCCTTTCGAGTTACGGAAAGACCCTCTTGATACAAGAGAAAATTCAGGATTTAAAGATAAGATCAATCAACTTCAGGTGAACCCGTCAATCCCTAACTTACATCCAGAGAGATAAATGTCTGTGTTGGAAACGTTTTCCACAAAACTTTCAGCTAGAATTTCAGCAAAAGAAAACACCAGACTTTTCAGCTTTATTTAACATGTAAAATTAGTGAAATGTCATGGGATAGATGTATAACCCTGTACATCTAGAATCTGTACAACTTGGAGCAACCTTTCATTAAAAAGCAAATTGTTTACTAATAAAGCCATTATACTTTTTTTTTTTTTTAAACCTATCCAGACATGGAAATACTTAAAGCAGATTATGTAGTTGTATTCGGATTTTTGAAGTTATGGATCTGACCTGAAAGTACACCTTTAAAAGCTACTGTGAATAAATGTATGATATTCAATAATATTTTATAAATCCAAATATTGAGAGAGAAGTGAATTCTTGAACAGTGGTTCTGCTACAGCATACAATAGGATTAAAACTAGTGTGTTAACGAAAGTATTTGGAAACATTTGGGACTTTTTCTCTCCATTCCAATTAGTCCATATAAAAAAATGTTAACTATCCTGCAGCTTAGTTAGAAAATGGTAGGTGGCATAATTTAAAACTTCAGAAATTCAAAGCTGAAGGTCAGTTAAAAAAAAAAAAAAAGATGAAACAGACTGTTAATACTCTAAAACGATTTGCTTTTAACTTTTCCAAAGCAATTTCATGAGAAGAAATTAAGTAAGTTGTTATGGGATGACCCGGCAAGCGATCTGAATAATCAAAACACTGCTTGAAAGAAAGACTTTCATTCAACCAGGAATTTAAACTTTTAAATTAAAACATTTTTTAAATTGTCTTTGCCAAGAAAGACAGCTACTCAAATACCACCAAAAGGCAACATATTTAACACCCAAACAAATTAAGGACAAAACATCAAAAACAAAACCTGAAATAGTGTAAGATTAAGTAGTCAAATCAGCATTCATAAAAACATCAACAGCAATGCTGATCATCCATCCATCTTTTTCTTACACGCTTGTCCCGAGTGGGGTCGCGAGGGGTGCTGGTGCGAGAGGCGGTGTCCACCCTGGACAGGTCGCCAGTCCATCGCAGGGCACGCAGAGACACACTAACAACCATTCATGCGCACACTATCACCTAAGGACAATTTAGAGAAACCAATCAACCTAACAGTCATGTTTTTGGATTGTGGGAGGAAGCCAGACCCAGGGAGAATCCACACATGCTCAGGGAGAACATGCAAAGAATCGAACCCAGAACCTTCTTGCTGCAAGGCAGCAGTGCTACCCACTGCATCTAAAGCATTTGATATTTAGATGTATTTTCATGTAATTACTATAAAAAAATTTTGCAGCCATTACCTATAATCTGTATAGAAAACTATTTAAATATCTCAATAAGCGGACTGAAAGGCATACTCTTGTGCAAGTTGTAATTAAACGAAAGATTTTGTGTTTTGTATTTCATTAAAGTACAAGAAGAAGGTGAAGATTCCATGTCAATGGCATTATAAATAATATCTTAGGAATTTAACTGATGCATTTTGAAAGCATGGATTTGATTTGCTCAGATCCATAAGGCTCAAATTTCACATAAATTGTATTTTGGCAGTGATCATTGGCCCAATTTTCTCTTAGTAAGTTGCACCTCCACGAAATGTATTTTTTTCTTCCAACCAGTTAATTAGTAAAGACACCTGAAAAAACAAACAACCACCAAGTAATAATCAGAATTTTAACTCTAAGTGGTAATCATATTTTCCATTCTCTGTGTTTGCAGCATCTCCTCACCCAAACCATGTGGGCCGGGCCTGTCTAAAGCTGAAGGTGTATGTCAGACCTCCAGGTAAGCCATGCTCTAACCACACACACTCACATACGCATTCATATCTAACACACAAAGATCCAGATTGCCTATCAAAGTAAAATTAGGGGGGATAAGAGGTCTGATAGAATGCTCTGGCAGAAGGCTGTGCTCGGATTCAAAGCCCAACAAGGCAACAGTTTGACACCTCCAGAGAGACACACTCTGACAACACACAGACATTCACGCATAAAGGCATACTTGAACGCAAGGGGACACACGCACACAACGACACATGTTTAGAAACGGACGCGGAGATATGTGTGCATGTACGTTGGCTCAAAGTGACTAACGCGCTTCACATCAAATCACATCACATCACGCTGGGTGAGAGGGAGACCTTCTGTCCTTTTAAAAAGATAACAGAACAGGCTGAAAGTGCTTTTTGAAAAGGTGACCAACCTCGATGTGATTCCGCTTACTGGATTTCCTCACATGATTCAAGAAAGGCTGTTTATGAACATGTAGCTTTGAAAAACAATTGAAATGGCTTCAAATTTTTTGTATTTCACAACCATAAACTTTGATGCATTTCAGTGGAATTTTATGTAATATACCAACAGAATGTATAACTATAAGCTGGAGACAAAAAAGTGCCTGTGTTTTTGCACTTGGTCACATTACCAGGTCTTAATTGGGGGACTGCACTAAACCGACTATATTTGTCATAAAATAAAAATTATTGATTGATGTAATGACTCAGAACAGAGGGATCCAGCATTCAGGCAGGACAAATAGCAGTGACTTATAGAGCGTTTTTTTTAAAGCAACAACAGATGGTTTGTGAATCTGCAGCAGCAGTGGGCGTCTGAGGCAGGTTACTCTGGTATAGAGCTCAGACCTTGCCCTGAAAACGAGGTTGATACCAGCTCGTCAGCTACCAAGACGCGGCACTTGCCGGACAGAGAGTTCCAGACGTCGAAGCCTTAAAGGACACAGAACTGACAGGAGATCAGATCCGAGCAGATGACGGAGGAAGGCAGTATAATCCAGGCGGCGAAGTCAAAAGGCAGATCCAGGTTCAGTCCACAGTAGAATCTGAAGACAGGTCAGGCAAACAGACCAGAACAGTTGCAGGCAGGCTCAAAGGTCTGAACACAGAAATGGGTCAGGTTCAGGCAATCAGAAGACTATTAGTAACACTAGAAAAACTCTTACCAATGGCTCAAGACTAATCTGGCATTCAGTGCAGTGAGGAATGCTCTGATCTTTATATTGGAGAAACCAAACAACCTCTCCACAGACGCATGGCCCAACACAGAAGAGCGGGCACCTCTGGACAAGACTCCGCAGTACACCTACACCTTGTGGACAAAGGACATTCTTTTGAGGACCAGAATGTCCATATTCTGGATAAAGAAAATAGGTGGTTTGAGAGGGGCGTGAAGGAAGCCATCTATGTTAAGAGAGAAAAACCAACTTTAAACAGAGGTGGTGGACTGAGATTCCAGCTTCCAAAAACATACAATTCAATCATAGACATGATCCCTTCCAGATATCACCAAACCCCCCACCCCATCACAGAGGAACGAGGGACTTACCCGCTCCAGCCGGTGAACAATACCTCCTTAACGACCAACCCTTAACAATCATAGACAGGTTTCAGGTATTACAGGAGACAATCCCCCCCTTAATGACAATCCCCCCTTTAACGACCGACCCCTAGAATCATAGACAGTTTCAGATATTACAGGCTAACGATGGAACTAACGACCCATTCATCGGTTTCTATTGCATGTTTCCAAGCGATACAAGGCGTTGTCTATATAAGACTCAAACTCACTGCGGATCCAGACATTTGAATTGAGAAAGCTTCCTGGAGAGGTGGCGAAACGTCTTCAGATCTTGAAAACCAAGTCCAGTGGATATTTTTTGAATTTTTATGGAATGACTATGACCTGGATGACTGAGAACCTTCATCAGCACTAATCTGGCACTGATGGCTGGGATCAAGTAGCCTGACGTAGTCCGACTCAATTCTAGTCAGAATATGAGTCTGATACTGCTCCATAGAGCTGTGATTATGGGGCGTGTTTTGAACGAACCAGGAAAAAAAATGCCTCTGCACTCAATTGGATAGACCTACAACCAATAAGAGCAACGGAGTGCGTGACGTATGTTAAGCGATGCATAGTTGTTGTCAAAAAAAATCAAAGCGTGCAGTTTCACGCCTAGAATAAGAAGATGAGCCTTGATCGCGTTTCTCTGTTCCCCTTTTAAAATTAATTTGCTGTCGATATCTTCTAGGACAGACCTAATAGCAGAATCTACACACCTCAACTCTCCGGCGGCAGCCATTGTTGTTGTCACCCATGCGCGCTTTGGTCACGTGGTTGATTACGTTACTGTTGATCAACTGTCCATCATCGTATAAAGCCCGCCCTGACAATTTGATTGGATCGCCAGAGAGTGGGCGATCATACTCGCGCTACTATGGAGCAATGCCAGACCGAACTTCCCGACCTCAAACCTTGTGGGCGGGACTAAGTTCGGAATGGCAAACAGGCTAGGGATCAAGCAGTTTAAATAGAAGCAGGAGAAGATGGAGCAGATGAGCAGTGATGAGAAACATGGCAGAGATAACAGGTGAATGAAATGAGCAATTAAGCCAGCCATCAGCTCCAAGATCATGACAATTGATTGATTGATTGATTGATTGATTGACACGTTTTATAATAGTTTATAAAATGTCAAAGCACGCTGTGATTTTGCATTAGTTTCTCACTATGTCTATACTTTTTGCGTTCACTGACAGCTGCATGTCCTCGCCATGTCCCTACCTGTTTTGCATTTCTAGACACTCAAGTTTTTGTAATTTCATGATTGTGAAATAGTTAAATTCCAGTTAGATTGAGTTGAGAACACCTGTGAGGTCTGGTGTAGCCATACTTTATTATGTTTGTATTTCTGCCATACGGTTTTATCTGTCCAGTAGGTTTAGAAACAGAACTCTGTGAGATATCCAAAGCATCTGATGTTGTTTTGTGACCTGATCATGCATTTGACTTCTTCAAAAAATGTCCCCCCTGCATAATGCTTTTTTTATTAAGAGAACTTTCAGCTTCAGAGAACTTCTGTATCCATACTGAGATTTAAATGCCAAAATATGGCCATCTTTTTTTCTTATTTAGTAACTTTTACGTAACAGGTTAAACATTTATCTGTTTTTCTAAAAACGTCAGGCTTGTTTCTAAACTCAAAAGTCAGTCTAGTACCTCCTGCGTCTTCCAAGTTAATTTGCCGACAGTGCTCAAACTCTTACATGTGTTCCACATTTGCCTCTGAATATTTATAAATAGCTTAAAGGAAACCTTTGCATACACGAGGATCACATTCTGGCTTACATTAAATTACACCTGTGGTATCAAAAAAAAGAAAAAAAACTACCTGTATGTCTGTTCCAATAGCAATTTGACCTTATGGGGATTCAAAAATAGACCAGATTTATTTAATAAAGTATCATACCTGGGTAATAACACCCAAGACAATGGCACAGCTTTGAAGATTATCACAAAGGAAAGTCAGCTTTTTTACAGCTTTCCAACCTCAGATCATACCATACCCTACTACAGAGGAGGAATAATCTCTCCTACATTATTACTGATACAACATGCAGTCTTCTTTTGTCATTGCTGCTGCTTTTCATTAAGTTTAAGGGTTTTTATTATCTGTGTTCAGTTGAAGTAATCTGTCTGACATTGCAACTTTCATCTTCCCCATGAAATGCTGTCACTCCGTGAGTGAGCTGTGAGCAGTTTCATATCTGTGAGTGAGTGGCTGTGAATCTGTGTGAGTGTGTGTGAGTGTCAGCTGCTCCAGATTCCAAGTCTCTGTGATTAAACTGTAATTAGGTTGGTTAAACCCCCTGCAGAGCTGTGTATCTGTCTTCTTCTCTGTCTTGCTCTTTTCAGCTCTGCAATTCATTCTGCTGTGTACTCTTTGCCTTTCATTAGCTGTTCAAGGATGAAGAGTGTTTTTTGTGATTTGTCTCTCATTTTCAGTCTTCCTTATCACCCTGACGGATCCACTTGTCTCTCCTTTGTCTTTTAGAGTCTATCTTATCTTTGCATCTGTCTTTGTGTCCTTCTCGGTTCAGATGTTTTGTCGCTTTTCTTTTTCTTCTCTTGTCTCTGTTCCAGATGGGTCGGGATATGATTCTCCGGAGCCGTTCCTGACTGACGGTGGTCCAGAATCCAACGCGGGTGGTGCGGTCCTGTTAGCGGCTCTGGCCCCACTCCTCCTGGGACCAGTCTTTGGGCTGTGACTACCCCTTCTCCCCCTCTTCTTGGAGCGCCCATGCTGGGATGATGGGCTGGGCTGGCTGTCCCTCTAAATCCACCACCCCTCAGGGAAGCCCTCTGTCTCCACCCTCTTCCTTCTTCCCTCCTCCACTGCAGTATGACCACCAACCACCCTCCACTGCCAGCCCCCCTTTCATGGCCAAGCCACAGACACCCTTCCCTGGAATACCTGCAATTTTTTTATAAGCAGTATGGGAAGCTACCCTTCCTTCTCTTTTCCCTGAATCCCAGGCGGAGCAGCACCTTTCAGCTGAAAACACGAGAGAAATGTCTCAGCACTCATATCAGGGGGTCGTTTTTTGACTTTTGACTCTTGCCCACTGATGGGATAGAAGTAGCCATGGCTATGATTAAACTTGTCGTTCCATTGCAGTCCCTATCCTGCAATCTCGGCTGGAGGCATTAGGCGATAGGCCTGAGTGCACAAAGATTGGTTTTTTGCTCTCATGGTTTTCCCTTCCTCCAAATACGAATTGGAAGTGGCCAAGTTGGCATTAAAATTGGAATTCAATACAAACGTAGACCATCTCCAAAGTACAATGAGGATGAGAGTGATTATAATGAGCAGGAGAAAAGTTACCTGGACTTTACTGCAAAGAAAAAAAAGTGTGAAAGAATTTTAAACTAGGCCAAGTAAGACATGTCACTTGCTACAGCGTCATGGAAACTTATTCACAGTTGGTATTTTTAACGCAGTTAACTAAAATGTATTTCACTGATAATTTATAAGATAAAACATCACAATGTAACAGAATATTGACGAGTCGAAGTGAAAGTATAAACATTCATCTGTTTTTTATTATATAAACATTCAAAACTGTGGCAGGCACTGCATTCCTCCTCCATCTTTCAGTCCAGTTAATTTGACAAGCCTTTTTGGGTAGTAACTCTAAAAGCTTTGAACATCTTTACAGCAGCTTGACCCATTCTTGTTTTGCAAAGTAGATGCAGTTCAGATTAGATGCAGTCAATGAATATCAGTCTTTAAGTCTTGACTGACTTCTAACTGGATGTTGGTCTGGGCTTTGACTAGGCCATTTTAGCTCATGGCAATTTATCTAAATAATTTTACTGTAGTTTTGGTTGTATTTTTATGGTATTCTTAAGTCTCCTCTAGCCTCTACAATATAGATAATAGATAATATAGACAATAGATATCCAATGTTGGTCATCGAGGCCCTCTGTCAATGATTTTCAATGATGGGCAATAAGCAAACTTTTACTAAAGTGCAATTATGTGAATTAGCTATGTGCTAAAGCACGGAAACATCTAAAACTTGCAGGACACTGGCCCTCAGGGACCGACTTTGGACCTGCTCTAATAACAGGCCTTGGGTTTTCACTCTATATTGCCCCCATATATCCTCCCAAAGGCTCTAAGAATCTCTCAAAATGCAGCCTGTCCCTGCTGAAGACACCACTGCCTACTAACCTTGTAAGATGGTGTGTTCAAGGAAATTGGGTTTTGTTTTTCTCTAAAAATAGTGTTTTATTTTGGACCCATTATCCCCTTCTAAGATGCTGAACATGGTTTGTTTTATACAGGGGTTTTTTACAGGGTTTATTTTGGCTCAACAGTGGGTTTGTTTTGTTGGTTAACTAAAAGTCAGATCTAGAAAGTGCAGTTGACGGATTTTCCCACCTTAGCTGGTCAGTTTGGTTTATTTCCATAATCTGTTAATCAACTGAACAGAGCTCTGTGAGATGTTCAAAGCTTGAATTAATATTTTGTAGTCTACCTCTGCTTGAAATATTATCTAACAAACCGGGCCTTCACCAAACAGCTGAATTTATGGTGCAATTAGATAACACCCAGATGGACCCGACTTACTAATTAGGCAACTAAAAGGCAATTTGCTTCACTGGATTTTATTTGCAAATATCAGAGTAAAAGGGGCTGAATTCAAATCTACACCACACTTTTCAGATTTTTATGTGCAGAAACAGTAGAAAACAATCTGTTCTATCTTTTACTTGCAATTCCCTCAGCTTGTTCTGTTGAAGTTTGATACGTCAAAATTCAGATAAACTCCCTTAAATTCTCAAAAAAGCTTTTACGCTCCCTTGAGGTGTTTTTTGTTTTTGCTAAAAAGGGTTGATGTACAAAACGGGAGATGCAAACTTTTTTTTTTTGAATAAGCTCCGATATTGCGACCTTTTAATGACATGACTGATCAGCTGTTTCTGCTGTCGCCGTCTTCTGGAATCTTCCCTTTATGCGTGTATACATGGCTGGAAGCGGAATCACCATTACTAACTGACATGTTAATGTAAGAAAAACTTCCCCCATAGCAACACATTCAGTAAAACCTTCCGCCATAACTCATCTCTGGTCATGGGTAGGTTGTGGCCTCTGCTTCCAGTTTACTATAGCCGTGGCTAAAGACGTTTTGTGGACAACAACCATAAGACAGAATTATGCGTTGCAATGCTTAGATATTTCACTTCAAACCAATTACAAAGAGCAAAAACTCACATTTCTAACTTTTAAAAGTTTACTTAAAATTCAAATTTCAGTTGAATGGAAGCATGCCTACCTTACAGTTCTACTCTACTGATACTGCATTCCATTTATTCTGGAACTATCGAGATGGAAGTATTTAAATTGTTCACCTTATGGCCACTAAGGCCACTGCTACAACATAGCAATGAAAACAAGAATTTCATGCAGTATCTTGTGAATACATGAAGCATTGATATATCTTGTTTTATAGTACATGCATGAAAACAGTCAAAGCAGAAACATTTTATTTCTGTCGATGCAAATAGCAGCAATTATAAATGCGGACGTCTGGAATTGTCCCGTTGCCCCACATATCAAAACTCGTAATTGTTACATGTGGCAATGTTCAAATCGAAATTTACTTCTTGGAGGTCAGAAATCTTGACTTCAAAGAACAAATGAAGCACAGTATCAGTGTAACTCTAGCACATAAAAGCCCAATTGAAGTTCAATTTAAAATGTGAAGAAGTTCAGGTGGTGTGAATATTTTGGCCATATGATCTTTGTGTACGTTCAATGCAGTAGAAGTTCTAAAAGATAACTGAGTTGGATTTTTCAGAGGCTTAGAATTCACATTGCGGCGACAAGTATAACCATAGCCTGTTTTACTGGCACAGGGTATTGGGTGGGTTGTCATTGGTGGGTTTTATGGGATGTAGATTTTCAGGTGGGCTGTGTTTTGTCTTTTATGTGTTTCTAAACAAAGCATTTATCACGGCCTGGCCTGCACAGGCGTCTCCAGCACTAGCTAACGTTGTCTGGGTCGGGTGACTTTTGGAACCATGACTTTCTCTTGTATGAATGTATCACTGGCCACCCACCACTTTGTTGTTGTTTTTTTTTTCTGTATTGTCATGACTGTGGTCACTTACAGTACCTTCTGTCGGACTGGCAGGATTTCTCAAAGGCTCTGAGATTCTAAAGGAAGGCGGGGTGACGGGTGGGAGTGAAGGTCAGGTGAGAAAAGGAGGCGACACTCAAGTTGCATGACCACTGTGAAACCTTCAGATCAAACTTGTTTCTATTGATATATTTTTTCATGGTGAAAAAAAAAAAAAAACGGAAAATAATCTGACAACATCGCGCTTCAACTCTCTTGCTCTCCTTGAGAGTTTTTCAGACATCAAAGGGGGGGGAAAAAATTCAGACTCTTTCCTCACATGGGTTCTCCTGTCTGGGCTCTCAGTCGTTGATGGATTAGCTCAGGCCGGAAAGATAAATGGACCCGCAGGGCGAAACTGACTGGAAATCGGGCCCCTGGAGCCCAACTCGGATCACGACGGACGTAAACAAGGACTGAAGCTGATCCCAGGTCCGGGGGGTTAAACCAATAAAGGAAGCACATAGACTGTGGCAAATGAGGCGAGGTGTGTAAACGTGTGAGGTAGCATCACAAAGACACACATACGCACATGCACGCAGACATATACACAAACACTTCATAGTGAAAGCACACACGGACAGAAGCAAACAGTGGAAGAAAGAGTGTTTGATTGAACTCAAACATTAACAGTAAGCACTGTTAACACACATACACACACATGTACACACACAGAGCAGTCCATGTACAGATAAACACACTCGCCAACATACATGCAAAAAAGTGTGCAGTTCTAGGCATTTACAAAAACATGCAAACGTGTACAAAACACAACCAAGGGGAAAATGCTTGTTCCTCTGTTCCATCTTATTTTTGTAGCATTTAAAATCACTGTTAAATACTCCTTTGTGGGATGCAGTGATGGGTTATAGCCTCTGACGGATTACAAAAATACTGTATGTGTCTTCTCTTCTGTCCCACTGATACTGTCCTTCTAGATTTTTTTTCTTTTCTCTTCCCCGGTTTGTGATCCACGGTTGATAGCGGTAGGATGCCTCCAGGTCTGAGCGTCATGTATGGATTTGTCTCCTTTTCTGTTCATGGTGTTTTTAGGGCGGCCTTTTCGCTGCTGAGGTCGCTCCGACAGACGAAGGCGTACACAGAAGTCGGCTAAAGGAGAGAAACAACACAAATAAAGATTGTCTTTTGTCTACTCGAAAACAACCCGCCTGAGTGGAGTTTCTTCAATAGAAATGTGAATTAATTCCCATTTTTTTTATGCGTTCCACCCCTCCAAAGGGCAGATGATTGTATTTATGTATTAGACTGCACCTGGGCCTTTATTTGCCTAGTCTATCTTCCTCTGACGTCAGTCTTGGAATAGAGATTATTGAGCTCTGCCAGTCAAAGCATGAAATTATTCAGAAGAAATCACCCTCTCTCATCTTCAGCTGTTCCCCCCTCAGGGAACTGACAGCTAATCTGAACTGCTGACTACAGTACGTGGAGGCAAAATAGCTTGATAGCCTTTCCTCTTTTGTTTTTATCAGATCTTTTGCATGGTGGCTGGTCAATAATGGGGATTAACAAAGAGCATGTGTTCAGATGTTATTCTGGGCTTTTAATTGTCTTGGTCAGTTACTCTTCACAGTATTACATTTTGAAGGGATATATTGTCTTTTTTTTACTGCACTACCTTGATTTTATAGATAGAGTTAACAGGTTACTTTCAAAATGTTGTGTATAAAATGATCCGATTTTTAAAATACACCATTTAAATAATACTAAGTGGCAATCACAAGAAAACGGTGTCAAGTTTTATTTCTCTGTGACTGTGTTTCCATGTTTTATTCATGCTTACAGGAGCTGGAACCACGATACAACCAAACTTTGCAACTTTATAGGTTCTCTTGCTGGCCTTGGGTCTCCAAGATCATCCCCGTTTTAACAACACAGATTTACCGAAGCTCTTTGCATACATTCCAGATTCATAAGATGTTAAACCCCAAATTATTCATATCCCTGGCAGATTAAGCTTTAATCAGATTTCATTTTAATACTACACTTTCCTCCTTAAAATTAAGTTTAGGGGTGGCCCAGACTGAGTTCTGACTAGAACTGGAAACTTTGAGGGGAGCTGAAGATTAGAGCAATACTTTCTAAGGACTTGGAGCTTAAATCAGCAAAATATCAGTGGAAATATTTAAAAAACTGATCAGCAATTATGATTTCGATTGCTGTTATCGTTGTTAGAAATTCTATTATTGAGAAGGGTTTAAATCATTTTTGAAACAGCTTTTTTAATTGAATTGCATTTTTTTTTTTATCACGCTCCTCTCACCCTGTTTTATTATCTTAAGAGATATAGATGCCTCGTTTCCTATTAAAAACAGATATCTTAAGTGAAGGCAGATCGTTTTAACCCTAAATTAACCAGGTGGCAATAATTTTGGGTTAAACCATGCAGAGGGGTGAAGAAGATAAAGGATGGAAAACTTAAAAAAAACAACAACATCTGTCTTTTCTCTGTTTTTAAATCCTTGCAAGATCACATGTCAGAGTGACTGTGATTTTCTTTGTCTATTTAAAGCTTTATATAAAGTTGCTACGCCCTCCTTCCCCACACAGATGAACAGAAACTATGCCTCACAGGTTTCAGCAACTTTAAATACCATAAAGCACCACATCTATTAAACAAACAGTCATATTAGCTATCGGAAAATAAATCAACTTTGTGATTTATCAGTGTCATTAAACACATCTAAGGTAAGGCATGAATTACAATGGCAATAATTTTAACTGATAATTAATATCTAATAGAAGGATAAACACAGAACACCTACCTGCATACTGAAAGTTATATACTAGAGGTGTGGAACCTGCTTGAGAGCTGTTCCAGGAAGTAAGATGATTGATCTCTGACTTATCTAAAATAAAAGGGCCTAATGCAGTTTAAGATGGCTTTCATATAACCAGAAGACAACAAAGAAAACACAGAATTCAGTAGAAAAAGAAAAAAACACTATTGGTTTGAGAAAGCTTCTTTATTCTGGCTATATTAAGAGTTATATGTTTACTGAGACCTGACCTTTGCAAAAAAAACAAAAAAAAAGAAAGAAAAAGAACTATATCCTCCCTTCTTCTCGAAATATTTCTTGCTGGAGTAGTGCTATTGTTATGGTAACGGCCCAGTTTAGTCCCAAATGATTAAGGTCAGTGTTACTGGAGGTCTGACCATCCTGAATAGCTCCTTTTATGTTGGTTTCCTTTTTCTTAAAGTTATCAAACTGTGCGGATCTTATCTTTCCTATTAAATAATAAGAAAACCATTTATAATTATCATTTTATGTCTTATTTCAATGATGTATCGTGTTTCTGTGATTATTTCTGTCACATTAAACCTCATACCTCCCTTCCTGGCCCCGTAAAGTTACGCGTAATTGTGAGGGCCTTAGCTGCTCTGGTCCTATACCTCCTTGGACCAGCACTGATTCTTAGGTTAAAAAAGCAAAACTCGAGCTATTGAACTTGCAAAATAATATAATATAATATAATACAATATAATATACAGATAAATATATAATATATATAATATATATAATACAATATAATATACAGATAAAATAATTTTATAACAGTTGTTCAATTCATTTCCAATGAAACATTTGGCAGGCTGTTCTTAAATGGATTATCTGAAATCACATTAAAGATATGAAGAACTTTAGAGCTCACTTAACTCTAAAGCAGGTTAAGTGTTAGTTTTAATTCAACAAAATCTTTAGATTTTTGCTCAAACTGTTTCTTGGATCCACCAATGCTCTTTGACATTTCTGTCCACAATCCTCCAGCACCGTTATTGCTCTTGTTTGATCTTCAGAGCACTCTGGAATCTTTTTTGAGAAAGGCTGGAGAACCGGATCCATGGGGAGCCTCTGTAGTTCACCCAGACTCTTTGCCCCTGGTGAAGCTGCTGATTCCTACCACAGCAGGTTAGGGATTGATAACGGCATGAGTCATTTACTGCAAGTCCCCCCCCCCATCCCCTTTCATAGGGTTCATCAAATAAAGGCTGCAGAAAACACCGAAAAAATATAACAGGGAAGCATCGCTTCTCTAAAGGGAGAAAACTCTCAGTTAGTAGCAACCTGAATCCTTGACATTAAGCAAGGTTTTCCTGTTGGGCTTTCAGAGTAAATCTCTGGCATCATATTATAAAAAGGGGGAGGATAAAAACACAAGCAGGGTCTTATGGGGTTCATAATATGATTTTTTAATAGACTCATAAAAATTTGACAACTGCAGGCTCTAGGGCCTCAGTGCTTTCACCTCACAGCGACTGGTACACAAACACAGACTATTTTGGTTAAAAGTAACAAATTTTTTCTGTCTCCACTAAGATACTTGCTTTAGAAAACAGTCCTTATACTTTTATTTTTTTCTCCTATCATATGGCTTGTTGTTCTAACCACACATTTGTTTTATTAAGATCTTCTGTTATTGAGCTAAACAAAGAAGAAAAATAGTCAAATCTAAGGGAATTGGTAGACTGGAAACTAATAGGAGGTTCTGCAACATTCTGTCGAGGTTTAGGAACGAAGTGAGCTAAAAAGAAAAGCTCTTAATCTACCTGTAAGGTATCTAAGGTGTAAGCATTACACATTTTTTGTTAAAAATAATGTAAGATATAAATATTAGGGTGAGTCGATTTTACCTGACAAAATGCAAAAGAATATAAAAGATTTAATTACTTCTGCAAGGATTTTTATTATAATTTAAAAATTGTTCCTGTGAGACGCACAAACATTGAGACAGGTTCAGCCTTTAGGTTCTCTGTGTGTTCGGCTCATAATGATTGGTCAAAAAAAATACAGACAGTTTGGGTGCAGCATGCAGGATTGCACAATTTGCACAGAGATACCATAGCTTCCTGCATCCTCTCGCTAAATCCAGCAGAAAAACCTGTTTGGTTAGTTTTTGCAACAGTGTTCCAATGTCTTAACTCTGACAGAGGTTTTCCCAGACTTGATGCAGTCTAGAAAATATTATCATAATCTTTAGACGTATGAGTTGTGTTACTCTAATGTGGAACCCTGATCTGTTAGGAAATGGTTACTTTAAACAACTTACGAAACAAACCACAGAGTTCAACTAGCTTTTTTTTATTTTTTATTTCTTAGATAGTGCCAAAAACTAAGTGTGTATAATGTAATATCAAATTCCTTGTATATATTTTATTTTTTTCTAAGTTTATGTGTAAAATTAGACAATAAATTATATGGCTAATTAGAGCTTAAATAAATGACAATTTGAAACCACAAGTGTTTTGCTACGTTTTGGAAGTGTTGAAAGATACAGACAGTTAGTAAAGCCACAATTCAAATAGATAAAAGCTGTTGCCAATACCAAAAAAAAACTAAACAAATCCAGTTTTACTGTGTTGCTGTAGAAGGTTTTACATTGGGATCAGTGAAAGCTCCACGTTTTCTCGTTTTTTCCTGTGATAATTTAATTTTTTTTTACAAAATCTATAAACAATGTTCATATAGCTTTGGTTTTTCTGTGAAAATATAGCAGGTTGCATTTATACTTGAAGCAGATGAGCTTAAAAATTCCTTTTGTCTCCCAAAAAACTGATCTTGCCAAGGGTGGGTGCAATTTGGAGATGTGTACCCTTCCAACTCCAAGCACTTCCTCAACAGACCATTATGTGTTCAATTGCGGCCTGCAAATAAGCTCATGAGGTCTAGCACCACATCATGTTCTTAACCCTGCATAAAGAGGGTCCCATTTATATGCAATTATTCATATTTGGCCCCAACAAGGGTGAAATGTATATGAGGAAGATTCTGGAGCCACAGAAATTTAACTTCCCTCGTCCTTTTGCAGGACACAGGGCAATGACCTACTAATGTAGAGTTAAAACATTCTGAAACATTTAAATCTTGCCTTTTTACCTCTGGAGGCTTTCATCATAGTCCCTTCTCTTCCACCATAAGGGGATATAGATACTGTTCGCATACAAGATTCAGCAGCTTTGCTTTAAATGGGCTATTTGAAACCTCTGACTTGCCAATTTTGACAGCATGATGCAAATAATATACATATAAGAAGTGTTGTTTTGAGAGGGAACAGGTTCATGAATAATACAGGTGCTGGTCATAAAATTAGAATATCATGAAAAAGTAGATTGATTTCAGTAATTCCATTTAAAAAGTGAAACTTGTATATTATATTCATACATTACATACAAACTCATATATTTCAGATGTTTATTTTGTTTAATTTTGATGATTACAAATGACAACAAATGAAAATCTCAAATTCATCATATCAGAAAATTAGAATATTGTGAAAAGGTTCAAAATTGATGGCCCCTGGTGCCACACTCTAATCAGCTAATTAACTCAAACCACCTGCAAAAGCCTTTAAATGGTCTTTCAGTCTAGTTCTATAGGCTACACAATCATGGGGAAGACTGCTGACTTGACAGTTGTCCAAAAGACGACCATCGACACCTTGCACAAGGAGGGCAAGACACAAAAGGTCATCGCTAAAGAGGCTGGCTGTTCACAGAGCTCAGTGTCCAAGCACATTAATAGAGAGGCGAAGGGAAGGAAAAGATGTGGTCGAAAAAAGTGTACAAGCAAGAGAGATAACCGCACCCTGGAGAGGATTGTGAAACAAAACCCATTCAAAAATGTGGGGGAGATTCACAAAGAGTGGACTGCAGCTGGAGTGAGTGCTTCAAGAACCACCACACACAGACGTATGAAAGACATGGGTTTCTGCTGTCGCATTCCTTGTGTCAAGCCACTCTTGAACCACAGACAGCGTCAGAAGCGTCTTGCCTGGGCTAAAGAGAAACAGGACTGGACTGCTGGTGAGTGGTCCAAAGTCATGTTCTCTGATGAAAGTAAATTTTGCATTTCCTTTGGAAATCAAGGTCCCAGAGTCTGGAGGAAAAGAAGAGAGGCACTTCATCCACGTTGCTTGAAGTCCAGTGTAAAGTTTCCACAGTCAGTGATGGTTTGGGGTGCCATGTCATCTGCTGGTGTTGGTCCATTGTGTTTCCTGAGGTCCAGGGTCAACGCAGCCACATACCAGGAAGTTTTAGAGCACTTCATGCTTCCTGCAGCTGAACAACTTTTTGGAGATGCAGATTTCATTTTCCAACAGGACTTGGCACCTGCACACAGTGCCAAAGCTACCAGTACCTGGTTGAAGGACCATGGTATCCCTGTTCTTAATTGGCCAGCAAACTCTCCTGACCTTAACCCCATAGAAAATCTATGGGGTATTGTGAAGAAGAAGATGCAATACACCAGACCCAACAATTCAGAAGAGCTAAAAGCCACTATTAGAGCAACCTGGGCTATCATAACACCTGAGCAGTGCCACAGACTGATCGACTCCATGCCACGCCGCATTGCTGCAGTAATACAGGCCAAAGGAGGCCCAACTAAATACTGAGTGCTGTACATGCTCATACTTTTCATGTTCATACTTTTCAGTTGGCCAACATTTCTATAAATCCTTTGTTTTTATTGGTCTTCAGTAATATTCTAATTTTCTGATATGATGAATTTGAGATTTTCATTTGTTGTCATTTGTAATCATCAAAATTAAACAAAATAAACATCTGAAATATATGAGTTTGTATGTAATGTATGAATATAATATACAAGTTTCACTTTTTAAATGGAATTACTGAAATCAATCTACTTTTTCATGATATTCTAATTTTATGACCAGCACCTGTACATGTGGATTAGTTTGCCCCTCCTGCACAAAGCAACCTAATGGCTATTGATGTCTCCAGTTTCCAACAAATTGCTTCATATGAGAGCTCAATTTTAATGGAAAAAAAGAGTGGAGTCAAGCAAAGAGGAGACGATGGAATGAAATTATCTCCTAATATTAAGATGCACGCTTGGTCAGCTGGTTCTTTGTCCTGACAAGTATTAAATAGGGGAGGAATTAGCCCAATGTAAAATTAAGCTCGATCAAGCAAGTTCTTGAAACATTCCCACATTCCCAAAGCTTGTGAGAGGAAAGATGGATGAGTGATACAACTGGAACGGAGCCAGAATTTACCAGATGTGCTCCTTGAAATCATGAGAATGAATCCAGCACCAAGTCGCAGACATGCATGCTCCTATGTACAGCCGTAACCCTGCTACTCTCATCCAGATCTAATTAACCACTTAATTATTTTAGCGCATTTTACTGGCCACAATACACGTGGGGAAAAGAAGAACAAAATTAGCCTGTATTATGTTAATTTTGGCAAACACTAAAAAACAAAGCCAGGAAGTACAGATGGAGACCTCTCAAATATCTGTTCTTTTTCTCCATCCCTCCATCTCTTGTTCTGCTGCTCTCCATCTCTCCCTGACACATCATTAGACTGCCGACTAATCTATTCTCCGCTCTTCCTTGTACCTTTGTCTCCTCATATTCGACTAACAGGCATGATTTTGAAATTATGGAATTAGGGCAGCACTCCCATTTCTATTAATGCGGAAAGGCGTGATGAAAGAGCTTGATCCTGAGCGTGCAATTTTTGTAGACTCTAATACATGTGTTCTGACTCTACAGTTCTTTCTCTCCCCCACATACACATCTGCTGCGGGAGAACACACACATTACACCTTAGCTGTAATTATAGATGAAATACTAATTCTTAGCTCTTCAAGCACTGCTGGATGTGGCGTGAAATGATGACAGCATGAAAGTTAACTATAAAGCACCCCTCCATCCATAGACACACAGCAAAGACACACTTGGAGAAGTCCAGATGGTCTCTGTGTTATTGCTGAATAATGCATGCTATGTAGACTCTATAAAAGTTAAATGTGCAAAGAAGGCGAGTCATCATTCAGGCACTATGGGCAGTCTGATTGGGGCAGCTTTGAAGCATGATTTGTCTAAACTTAAGGCTGTAAATGGATGTTTTTACCATTAGTATTTAGTTGTAAGTAGGACAGCCATTCTGTAGTTAAAGAGATACAAAGCTGATACTCATGCTGGCTTTTTGCCAAGTATCTGCAGTCACCTTGAAAATGGGTTTTGTGGTTTAAAGCATAAATTGGGAATAACACAGCAGAGTCAGAGCTAGAGGCTCCGGTTTCAGAGCATCTGAGAACCACTATGAAAAAATATCTGGTGTTGTGTTTTAATGTAAAAATACCCAAAGGAGAAGATGGGGGGAGGAGGGGGAGGTCCGGGTGAAGGGTAAATGCTGCACTCATGTGGGCAAACTGAGCAGTGCCTTTTTTTACCCTCGAGTCGAGGCAACAAGAGATGCCTGCCATCATGTGCTGCGTTTAAGTGTCTATTGTATATACGGATTGTAAAGTGTTTTATATTTGATATAAATATATATATATAAATAAACTGTATAAAACTATATATAAATATAGCTTTAAGCTTAGAAAAAACTGTACATTTCAAATAAGCACCCTCAACAATGAGCATCTATAATTTTATATGGAAGTCGTTGAAAAAAATGGCAATGAATTGATACTATAGAGTTAGACAAAAACCCCAAAAAAAATCAATACGTAATTTTCGCGTATTTATAAAAGTATTTTTCGAATGAAACGTAGACTCTTTGAACCGTATTCATGTCTATGTCGCACACCAGTGAAAGCGAATGTATCTGAGGGTAATAGATTTTCCGACGACACACAAACGCATCAGCAGACTTTCACGTTCGTTCATACCACAGAACTGAACGGAGCCAGTGAAGGAATTCAGGAGTGACCAGCGCCAAGTTTACATACCGCGAAGAAGGAGGAGTTTCCCCTCACCTGGTTAACAGTAAGTCTTGACTACCTTGTCAAATATCTGGTCATTTTATTTCTCCTTTAGGCGTAGTTTGGGTGTCGTTAGAAAGTTGACAGGGAAGCGGAACTAGCGAGCTAGCTGGACGTTAGCTAGTTACAAGTTTCTCCCTCTTCTACGGATCTACCGCAGAATACATGAGAAACTCCGCAACGTTTTAAACAATGTAAGACAAATCTTGTTCGTTTGTTTCTGTACTTTACCGAAAACTATCGTGTCTTCAAAGTTTGTTTGGTGGAGTTAAGTTTGTACCTAGTTGGGTGTGTTTTGACTGTGTTCTAGCTAGTTTTAGAGCCGTTTGGTTAATATTCTCCCATCTATTGTCACCTGTTTCTCCATGTGGGACTTACGTGTTTATCAGGTGCTTTGATACCTCGTGGTCTCAGTTTAAATGTTACAGTGGTTATGATTAACAAGTCCTGTTTACCGGTGGGTAAGTATATCTGTGTCATCTGCAAACTGGGAAATAAAACGTCCAGTCTGGGACTTTTCAGCATGATGTCATAGGTCACATATGGATGAGTGTCTATAACAGTTACCAGCCCTAATGAATGACTTCAAATACTTTTATGAAAAAACAATAAGTTATTTCTTTAGTGTGGGGGTTTAAAAAGATGGAGAATGGGAATGCTTTGTAAAAAGTTGTTAGCAACGTGACCAGAATAAGAAAATACGTCACTTAAAGTTCATCAGTGAGATCTTGAGGAACAGGTTTGGGCAGAAGAACTAGAAAATGCGTTTCCCTGTTGAGGTTATTGTTTTCTATCTACTCTCTTGGTGGTGCAGTGAGGATCTACATACAGCATGAGTGGGTATGTCTGTAAGACTTAATTATTTTTTTCCTCCTGTGTCTGCTAATTTGTTAAATCAAGTTGTGACCAAACAAACCCCAAAAACATTTATCCCTGCTTGGTTTATGTGTAACCTGTTTTTGGAGACTAATGCACCTCGAAAATGGAAGGAAAGCATTATACTGGTCTTTCTTTAAATGATCATTACATTACCAATAAACATAAGAGTATTTTTAAAGTTGTAATTTGGCAAATTTCTATTGATGCTTGTTTATGTTTCTCATGAATCTAAGTTACAGGTAGAATCCACATTTGTTAGTCCCATGTTTGACCAACTTTTATACAAAAGATACTAATGTATGAAATAATTTTGTTTTATTTAAAACATTCCTCAATTGCTAGAGTAATATTTTTTATGGTTGTTGCAATGTTATCTATAATAGTTGTTTATTGCTATCTGTAGCTAACTTTATATATAGATGTAAGCAAAAGTATAGAACCAACACATGAATCTATTAGTTTTAGGTTATGGTGACTGGGCAGAATGTAGACCCTTTTTTTATTTATTGATTTGATTTTCTTTTTTTTTTTTTTCTTTTTTTTTTTTTTAGAGGGAAATGGGTATAACTCAAATGCTGTCTTCAAAGAAGTGCCTTTATTTTATACAGCATGGGTGTCATTTTTCACGTCCACATTAGTTTTTCCGGTTAGTGGATTAAAAGTATTGTAGCCTTTCACATTCAGCAAACAGGTTTTGAAAACAATCTCTTTGCTGCTTTTATATAAAAAAAAAAACATAGTTCAGTATTTAAAATATAGCATGTTGGTTAGGTCATATAAAAGACAATGTGTTCTAGGATATTTTGAAAACTGCATTGCTTTGATAAGAAATCCTGCTTCTCATTGAAGTATTTCCCAAATTATTGTTTTTAGATTACAAGTAAAGTGTGACCTTTTTGGAACCAGCTGATCAGCATGGTGTAGTTAGGTAGAGGACAGTAGGTGCCATCTTTAAAAAAAAATCTACATCAGTGGCACTTTCTTATTGACTTTTTAACTGAACAACTCTTAAGCCATTAAAACAGCTTAACAGACAATGTCAATGTCGAAACTATTTTTACAAACGTTACTTATCCTGTCATTGCTCATCAGTTTTAGACAATGCTCCATATCTGTATCCTCTTCATTAGAAGTAGGCTGATAAAGATATGGTGAAAATCCAGGAGACTGCTACTCAGTCTTAAAAATATAGTTTGATGTTGGTGTTTTCCGGATCTGGACGAGTGGAATAACAATGACTGAAAAACTATTCACACTATTGTTTCCAGACTTTATTACCTCTCATTATTTAAATTAGGGGCCTCCAACATGGATTTCTGATTACAATGTAACAGTCACTCCTACCCCTGGCTCTTTATTAATATAAAAAACAGATCTGTCAAGGCTTATACATAAAAAATAAAAAACTTTTTTACAAACAAATTTTCACTTGCACTAGCAGGATAAAGGAGTTGTTTGTTTTGTTCCATTCTGCAGTTTTGTTGTAACGTAGCAAACTAGGTAAAATAAAAAATCATTAGTCTACATGTTCTTTTTCCATAAACGAGGACTGTTATTGATTTGTTCTCACCCACCAGCCCAATGACCAAGCATACTTTGTGGTTCTAAACAAACTTTAATTGGCAAAACTGAAGCAAAAATGGACCTTTGGATTCTAAAGGTCGCTGACCCTTTGGTGGATAAAAAACACTAGTTAACATTTTTATCATTCTGTATAGGATTTCTTCAATCATACGAAACTTTGTTTAAACCAACAGATTGCATTAATGTTCTCGGAATAGCATCTGCTTAATAATGAAAGTAACAGAAATTTCTTTGTTTCAAACCCTTTATTTGCAGCACTTAACTGTTTAGCTTCAGGTTTTCCCAAATACTCAAGCATTTAATGATACTTGTGTCATGTATTTATCTACAAAGCTTTAAATCCCACACAGGATTGTTGGTGGTAGATTTTAGTGTGCATAAGAAACAGACTGTTGTTAAAGTAGGAAAAGGATGAGAACCAGAGATATTTACCCAATGCAAAACTTAAGAGGATAGTATTTTTAATATAAATTAATACTTTTTATGTCAGACTTAATTCTGTCATTAAATCTTCAATTAAACTGGTTTTGACAGCCCTATTAATATGTTTAGTTTCTCTTTTACCTCCTTATAAACCTTCACTCACTCTTATAGGCGTAAACCTCCGTCTGTTTTGTGCCAAATGTAATGATCTGTCAGGAAAAAGCTATTTTTTATAAAAACATGTGCCCTTTAATATATAAATGTAAGCTTACAGCATTGAATCACTGAGCTGCCTGCTAAGCAGACTACCCATTTTTCCACCTCATTTCCCACCTGCTGTAGGTTTGACAAGGAAACTAAAGTCCTGGAGCTATTTGCAAAACAGGAAAATGTCACTTGAACCTTTTGCAGAGGAGCTGACAAGAGAGGAAGAGAAGCAACAGTGGATACAGCTGTACTTCCTTTATGTTATCTAAAAACTTCAGTGTCGGAACAAAAACAAAAAAACCGAACTGGGTGTTTATGATTGACTGACTGATTCTTGTCCCTCGACAGAACGATCAACGCTCTAAATCTTCATTTATCTTTTGCTAAGCTGAGGCTGGTGTTGAGCCAGTCTTATAATCGTAACTGTCCTACTAAAACGGTATCTTTATGATTGTATCATTACACAGTGCAAACAGAATTATTAAGCATTGCCTCAAAACGAAATGACGCCACACCCTTTAAACCACCCACACAACTAAACCATGTTTACAGCAGCTTGCCTTGTAGTTAGCAGGCTTGAGGCCTGGAACTTGCCTTTAAACTTCTCTGCTAATACCCGATAAAAAACAAAAGTACAATTCTAGTAAAACTAATGAGCCTAAAATTAGATCAGTACTTGCTGATGTAGTCCTGGCTTCTCGATACATGCTCATAGCTGCTTCTCTGTTGTGCTGAGATCATGACATCTAATGTGCCAACACTGTGCCATCTAATGCTGATCATTAGTTAAATCACTAACCTGTCGGGTGTGGCACTTTAATAGTTTAAGAGAGTTTGCATAATTTAAAGGTTTCTCAAGCACTATTACAGCAACCAAAGATGCATCTGATATGCATTTTATTGTCATGTAGCGATGCTTTTCTATAGATAGCTGATATGCAAACGGTTTTTCAGAATAAAAGCAAACAAACATGGTCCTAGAGTAACACAGCTGGGGGTTTGAAATCCCAGAAATACAGAAACTATATAGTTTATTAATTTTAGCTCAGTGTGGTGAGAGAGATGTTTTATTAGTTAATTTTTTTTACAGTGCTAAGAAACAGAAGTTTGTAGGTGTTACATTTTAGTTTAATTTCAGGTTTTAATAATTGCTTTTGTGTGAAAGGTATACAGGAATTCTAAAACAGACTATTTTTGGTTATTCTGTATTTCCTCCCTGAACCTGTATCTAGAAGCCCCTATGGTTGTCATTACTGGCACTGAGCAGTAGCCCGCTGTTGTTGACCTAAAGGTGCTAGCAGCACTAGATGTGTTACATAAATTGATAAGCTTTTAACCTATACACCACAACTGATGTGATCTTCTAAAGTAGTGAAACAAATAATTCCTAAAAAGACGAACATGCCAAAAAAAATTCTGCATTGTGGAGAGTTAAAGTGAAGACAAGCAAATGCAGCTGAGTTCATGTATAATTAAACCTGAACAGCTCACACTGGGAGATATCACAACATTGGCCATGTTTCTAACTATTGATCTTCCTCAAAGGAAATATTCTGTTAGCAGTTTTTATGAATTGCTTATATTTTGTTCTGTACACATTTCCATTTACATATTTGAGTATGATCATTAATTTCAATCGCATTACAGTTATGTCACTTTAAACCCCTACTGTTTGCTGTTATGCAACATCTTTATCAAAATGCTGCAGAGCTTTGACTGAACTCCTCCCCCACTACAAAAGTAGCCACCTTCACAGGCGCTGACATCTTGTGCTAGTCTGATGAATGTGTAAACAAGTCTACATAGTAGAGGTCTGAGTGATATTAAAACGACCAAAAAAAGTTATGGTACAACTCTGGAAAAAAAGCTTTTCCTGCTCTTTTGTTTTGTGTGTGTATTCGAATAATACATTGTTAAGTAGAGGTTTGTTGCTAGTATTTACATAAAAAATGTATAAGAGGATATCAATAATAGTTTCAGTACAGATGGGTAGCAGTAAAAGGTTTCCTATATATGATCATAATCGACAACAGAATGTCAGTCACCACAATCCGGAAAGGACTGCATGTAGACAAGGATTGTTAGGATTCTGTATTTCAGGTGCTTTAAGGTACACATAGGTAATATTTAGTCTGTTGGATGGCCTATAACCGTGCATAACACTGATACCCAGTGCACATTTTACTGGCTGAGATGATACAGTCTGCCAAGTGTGATGCAATGTGTACTAATAAAATTGAAAATTACTAAAAACTTGAGTTTAATTGTAACAAGAATTGTGATCAGTTTCCACATAGAGGTTGTAGCTGCTATTTTTTTTGCAGCGTAAAAATTTTATTTCTTTGTTATAACTTTCAGGTACATTGCAGCAAACATTAGTCTACCTACACTGCATCCACAAGGTTCTGCATCTCTAAGCCTGCAGAAAGTGGGAAGTCTCTTGCTTTGTTTAGGTTTTGCATTTTTCTTTCCCTCTCAAATATAGACCAACTAAACATGCTATGATTCATTTGGTTCTCTCAAATATGTTCTTGAATTTGTTCCCTACATTAAGGGTAAAACAATAGCATATTGTATATCTATGAAGAGTCATTTATTAGAAGCAAACATCACACTGAACATGATATGCAGATGTGCAATAGGATTGTGTAATGAATCAATATCTATCTCAATTAAAAACACTCAAAATCAATATAAAATGTGTCCGATGTATTTTTAAAGATCTTTTTGAGCTCTGATCCAGAACCACACCGTATTCTCATCGATTGAGACAGAAAAAGGATTTAGTCACTCAGTCTATCATGCAAAATAGGCAGGGTTGAAGGTAGAGCTGACCTGTTTGTTTATTTTTAAGGTTAAGGGTTACATTTAAATACATTTAAATTTGTAAACTAAACAATAATCAATAATTATTCATCAATTTCATATAAAAGGCTTAAATCTTGATGCATTCTTTTTAGCGATATTACACAGCCCTAGTGCCAGGTTCTAATTTTAGCATTAGAGGGGATGGGTAACAGCTAATTGAGCCATGTTTCTACATTGTGTTTTGATCCCTTGTCCTTAATAATTGATAAATGCAATCAAAACTTAAAGTTAGTCAACAGAGGATCTTGGTTATAGGTACTGGTTTGGAGCGAATGGATTTGTAACATAAGCTAATACTTGCAGGATGTAGTTAAAAGTCCTTTTTAATAGGCTTTAACAAGTGTCATCAGGTTTATCGCAGGAATGTGGGATTCTTAAAATATAATTTCTTACTGTCCAGAAGTTATTTGCTTGGCAGTAAAAATTTATTTGTGATGTGTTGTGAATTTCTAGTTACTACTTTGGGGAAAGGTAATTTACCTCTTCCCAATTGGTAGAGCTCAACACTTTGCTCACTCTGACACTTGTTCTGGTAACTCTCATGGAGGACTTCAAATTTTACATCAGAGCGTAATGGAAACTTTCAATAGCTGTAAAACTGTAACCTTTAAAACCAAATGTATAATTTGATACTGTCAACCAAACAATGCTGGAGAGTCGCAGTCTGGAGTGTTACTTCTGTTTTTCTCTTTTAGATAAACCTTTTAGTTGAATAACCCGTGGTGAATATTATCAACAATAGGTTGTTGTGTTGTTGATTTATATTTTGCTCTCCATATTCTCGCTTTTCTAGAGTTCACGGTCTCTTTGGTTTTCTATATGTAAAACATGAAGGTTTAATTGTTAAGTTTTTCTGGGTCTCTGTTGACTAACTGATTTCTCTATTTCAGGCCACAACATATTGAGCTCGGGGCCACCGGCGGAGCTGCTAAACAGGAGAGCACCAACATGGACGACATGACCGTGGAGCAAATGGCTGTCAGAGCCAACCAGCTGACTGATGAGGTACTAAGTAAAGGACAATGCAGTGTGTTTTCTTATTCCAATTCCAGAGTCTCACACTATGGAACACAGTTGCATTAAATCCGTTCATTTTGGCTACGTTCACACTGCAGCCTGAAGTGACCCAAATACGATTTTTTTTTTGCCCATCTGCGATCTGGATTTGATCTTTTCATGGCTGTCTGAACAACACAGATCTGATTTTTTCCAATGCCACCCAGGCCACTTGGCTACGTGGTCCTGAATCCGATAGGAATCTGATCTTTTCAAATGCGACCTGTGTTTGAACGACCTGAACGTCATTAATAAACGACAAAGGTCACTATTCTGCATCTTGCTACGCAGAAGCGGCAAGAAAAACAACAAACAATGGCAGATGATGATGATGCGGATGGCAGTATTTATGTTTAACCATATTGAAAAAATTTAGTTTTTATGGTTGGAAAGGACCGCTAGATGTGGGCCGGCACTACCATCCATGTTTACTTCCATAAACATAGAGCATGCTGGCCTGTGATGTCATTGTGTCCTTTACTGTGCATGCGGGACACTTGCGGTGTATGATTGCAGTTCACACAGGAGACCACATGCAAGTTGTAAATATTTAGAAATATGAACGGGAACGCAAAAAAAAAATCGGATTTCACAAAAAAATCGGAATTGAGCATCAAGGCCTGCAGTGTGAACGTAGCCTTTGGTTAGATCAGACTGAGGCAATTAGACACATGAGTGTCTGTAAAGAATTTCCTTTACAGTTCTTCTGTGTTGTCTTTAAATTAACAAGGTAATTGCATGTAGGTAAATGAGAAGAAAATGAAGTTTCCAAATTGAAATAAGCAGACTGAAAAATACTGAGTGCATGCCTTTTTTTTTATTGCCGTACCATCTAAAGCCCATTTCTGAGTACATACATGTATTGGGGTTTTTTTTAAGTCTATTTTGTATGTGAAAACAAGGGCCTATCTAGGGAATAATCAAAACACTTTTGCATCTACCCTAACTGGGAATCCCACAAGCTACAGTACAAAAGTAATAATCAGTAAACGGGTAATTCATTTTAGAAGCCAACCATTTTTTTCTCTAAATAAAAAGAATGAAGAATAATGTAGCAGGAGAATATTAATATGTAAAGCAGTTTATCCTCTGAAGTACCAGCATTAAAAATAGAAAGCATGTATCCATAGAAATGGGTACGTGATTTCGATGAAGGTTAAAACAGTCCACAAGCTTAGCAGTTTAAACACAAATGTTCATTTCATGAGTGTATGCAAAACCAAAAGCAGTCCTAAGCTTGCTCTTTGATGGAGGTTCCTCTTTTTAAAGTTTGAAAAACTATGACTTCATCATAGATTAAACAAAAAAGATAATTGTATTATGAAATAATGCTTTCTGCCATAACTTACTAATAGCAAAAACGGCAAGGAGAAATGGTAGATTGAAGAGATCTAAATCAAAACCCCAAAGGATGTAAGACAGGGTGCCTGATTTACTCTGTTACACCGCTGACATGTCACTACTCTCTAAACTTTGACTGTTGTCAGCTTTATCTGCTTCATTTTCCTGAAGATAGTTTAATCAACAGTGCAGGGCACCTTATTATCAGCATATCAACTAAATGCTTAGCTTAAACATGTTTTGGTCCTAAAGCTCTCTTGTTTTTCTCAGCTGTGTTCGTGTCCTATTGTTTGTGTTCTAACTAAACCTGCAGTTTTCTTTCTGCCTTCTTCTTCTTCTTCTTCCTTGTGCTGCTGCCTGGTTGATTAAGGAGATCACTCTGGGCACAAGGCATGGGAAAGTCGCTCTGCTTATTCTGCTTACCGCTCTGACTTTGGGTAACTGCCCATACTTTAAACACACAAAGCATGGCTGACTGTATAAGGACGTTTTGTAAATGTGTAACTCTTAAATGGGTTGTGAACCTTTTTTTTTTTTAGTGCAGCTTTTGGTATCAAATCGGATTTCACAAACCTATGTTTCCATAAAAGGCAGTGGATTCAAATTAGCAGAGTAAAGCTAAATGTTCCGTGTACAAGATTTAGCACTACACCACAATCTGGAAACTTAGGCAGCAACTGCCGTTTTTAGGCTTTATTTGCCATGTTCACAGACTGCAAAAGAAATAATGTAATGTCATCCGAATAAGGGATGTTTTGGCTTAGTCAACAGAAACCTGGCTGAGCCCAACACACCCTGATAGCTAATTCGTGTTTGTCTGTTTCTCAACTCATTGATGAATGGATCCAGAGGAAACATTACAGAGAAATTAGGAATCTGCTCCATCCTTTCTGATGTTAATGATTATTGTTTGTAACTGTACAGTCTTGTGCTTCAGTTATTGGACTCTCTGCAGTATTTACTATTAATAGACTCATAAAGGGTGCAGCTTACCTGGACTGGTTGCATTCCTTTGTCTCTTTGCACATTTGTTTTTTGTTTTTTCACTTTTGTGTGGACGTTACATCGTCAAAAAGGAATCAAACTCATTGAATTTCATATTTTCATATAATATGGCATTTTCTTAGAGCATTTTTCAGTTCTAGATGACTTTGGGAAATATATTTATTCAGATTTTTTCTGAAACTAATTGTTAAAATGTTCTATCCTTTAATCCCTTTGTCCGTTTGTCTGTTACCTGTCCTTCAATCTGTTTTTCAATCTGTTTTCTACGCATCCACTAGTGTCTATCCTACTTTCCATCTTTCAGTTACTTTATCCATCAATGTTTGTCCATTACCCATCTAGTTGTCCTTCCATACATATTTGTTGATCCATCCTTGTATAACTCAAAAAGTTTGAATTTTAAAACAAAACATTCAAACTCTATCATAGATCCAACCAATTATTGATAACAGTGTACCTGATTCATCTTTTATTCTTTAAAAAACAGAAAAAATCTCACATTTACATTGTACCTCAATTCATCTTCCTTCATATAAAAAACATGTAAATCATAAAAAGTTTCTATGTCTGAAGTTTGTCAGTAAAAAAAAAAAAAAAGATGTTTGCCTTACATTATTTGCTTTGATTACACAGCGTTGGCTTCAGTAGCTGGTCTTCTACATGATTAGTCAATTGACAAATTCTGAATGCTAATGGGAATATTTTTAAAACCATGTTTGAAATAAGAGGGTTTCATTCTCTAAATTCATGTGAGACTCAAGCTGTAACATACCAAGTATACTATATTTTAAAGTAGTTTCAATCATTTCTTTTTTTAATCTGATAGGTGTTACATGTTTAGTGTTTAGTAACACGATTTGTCCTCATACTTACAGATGCACCGATTAGATCTTAGTTGGCTGGAACCAGTTTCCGTTTGCCTGCAGATTATTTTCGGATTGTATTTCTTTTCTTTTTTCTTTTATAACTTATTCTGACTTTCTCCTTCACAGTCACTGGAAAGCACAAGGAGGATGCTACAGCTGGCAGAGGAGGTGAGTCTATTGACATTTTCGTTCTCACTCACTAAAGATGATTTCATTAAAGCAGCTGTTGTTTTATGGACTGAAATGGTCTAAATGTCAAACTCACAAAAATTGCTGTTATCCATTTTAAAGCTTAAAATTAGAGAAGTTATTTTGGCAATGTCAGATTATCTTTTTTAGTTTTTTAAGATATCACTAGCTGTAATTAATTCTGCGTTGCATTTAAAGAGGAACACAGTTTTTTTTTACATTGGGCCTTTGATTTTATGTTATTCCATCATGTTATACTCACCCATATGAGTTCTGTGTCATTTGGAGCCGTTCTGAAGATATTCCATTAGTTTATATCCAAGTAACGTCTTCCTATGGGCAACGACTTGAAGGCACAAACTAAACTGTTCATAATTTATTCTTTATGGTACGCCAGCATTCAGAACATGTAGGTGAATTACTGTCCCCCAGACATTCGTGGTTATATTTTTTTATATTTATATTTTTTTTAAACAAAGCGGAGTGTGTATGACATCATTCGTGCAGGCAGGCAGCCCGGGCCACAGGCGGCTACGCTCTACCCCTTCTATTCATTCTAGCTAATCTGAATCGTTCAATTCCATTTGGAGAGCGAGATAATCTGTGGTAGCAGCACTAGACATCTTCCAGGCATGTGAGGAAAACTAGCATCAGTTCAGCGGACAGGAAGAATGAACGGTAGCCGGCGCGGGCGGATGACATCATACAAACTCCGTTTTGTTTAAAAAATATATATAAATATTAAAAAAAAAACACGGATGTCTGGGGGACAGTGATTGTCCTACATGTTCTGAATGCTGGCGTACCATAAAGAATAAATTACGAACAGTTTAGTTTGTGCCTTCAACTCGTTGCCCATAGGAAGACGTTACTTGGATATAACGGAATATCTTCAGAACGGCTCCAAATGACACAAAACTCATATGGGTGAGTAGAACATGATGAAATAATGAAAAATCAAGGTGCCAATGTAACAAAAAAAATAAATAAAAACCCCGGCATTCCCCTTTGAGGGTTTTTTTTACATTAATTTTTGTGTTTGTTTTTAGAGCCAACAGACTGGCAACAAAACCATGGAGATGCTTGACCATCAAGGAGGTAAATTCACAACATGAGCTCAGCGTTTTTTTTTCTTTTGTTTTTTTTTTTTTTTTTTTTTTTTAAATGTAGCCTATAAGCAATTTTTTATTGATAATGAAGATGGTAAATTTTTTTAATTTTTTTCCTTTTTATTTTATCTGTTGTTGTTTTTTTTTTTTTTTTACCTAGACCAATAATACTAATAAATGTAGCAGAGGAAATTATAGATATTCTATCATCTATGGCTGATTTATAAGTCTTTACAATCAGAAACCTCCATAGTGCAAAGTGAAGGCAATATGTGGAGTGATAATAGAGCCATGATTTAAATTAATTTCAGAAATCAAGAAGTATGTGCAGAAGATTTGTGTACCGATTTGTGTATATATAATTTTTTTTTTTTTTTTTTTTCAAAATTACACAGGTTAAAAAGTACACACCGTTACACAACTCTTTTTAAGTTTAAATATTTCTTAGCAATTTATACACAGATGTACCTCTGTGGCCCAAAACAAGGTCCAGGTATGATTCTTGCTGGATGGTTCTCTACGCTTCAACAGTATTGATGTCATGTCCAGAGGTGGGATCCTGCTCTGATTTAAGTTTGTTGGCAATCCGTTGATTTTGATTGTTCAACCCACCTCATGCTATGCCCTTCAGCTGACATCTAAACAGGTTCTCAGAGCGATTCTGCCACATTACTGCGTTATCAACCATTAGATTATTCTTAGCTGTCGGTTCCACTGGAAGTGAAAGTGGCATGTTTGCTCCATGGTGTGGCTCCTTCAGTCTCAGCTGTTTGCAGCAATTCTACACAATCAGTGTGATTCCACTGAAACTCTTCTATTTTCGCCTGTTGCTGCTTTTAATCCACGTCAATCTGGAGCAGCGCAGATTTTTAAGACAGGAATTCCATCAAGTAAAGGCAAAGCTGATCCAATTGAGTTTACAAGTAAAAGACGTCATATTCAGAATATGAGTGTCATTTTCTGGACTTTTCTGTAAAGAAATATTGTTTATACAGGTTATTTATAGTTGGAATAAATATGACCATTATATTAGAAAAGTAACTGAAAAAACTAAATATTTAAACTGAACTCAACTTACTCAAGTTGGAAGTCGTACGGTGATCAAATAAAGAGCAGGCAAGAGAGACACTGGTAGAAATGGTTTAATAAACGTTGCTGGTTTATTGCTCTAACTAGAGCCTATAGGTATTATATTGCAGTGATGCAGTTCTGACATGCTCAGAGTTTAAACGCAGAGATTCCCTCTGCTTTAAAAAAGATCGATCCCAGTGGAATTTGTTGTCTGTAAAAAGTAACGGCGAAACTGGAGTGCAGCGAGTTCGCATCGCTTCCACATCCAATGGAAACCAGAGGTTAGGTTTTAAAGATGCACCTTGATTTCTTAAAACATCCTTCTGGTCATTTTGGTTTAATGGCTCAAACATTCGCATCTCCGCATAAAACCTTGGAAACCTGAAGAAATTTGGCTGGTCAGTGTAGAGACCAGCTAATTTTGGCCAGGCTCTAATGTGCTGATCTTGAAATGAGCTTATCCTTCTTGGTCCATACTGTCTTCTTCCGCCTGAATACTACAACTCACATCAGCAGGTGATAGTTAAGGATGCTCCCTGGGGTCTTCCTAATACCGAATTTCCACTACCCTTGAAAAACCGATCCATGCCGAGACCAGTCCGAGCTCAGATCATTTAACCAGGCCGAACTCGGTTCTGACGACCGTTTACACATCACGCTATATCCGTTCCTTGACTCCTCGCCTCCTAGTGACGATCTGCGGTATTACTGCCAGTATTGAAGGAGGAAATCAAGCAGTTGGTCGCGGTAATGCACCAAAAGTTGTTTGCCAACCGCCATAAAACACAAGAAGAAGAAGACGAAGAGGAAGAGACTCAAGCAAATCAAAATGGCGGCGCCCGTCACATTCAGAAAGTTATGCTTGATTATTATTGCTGTATGGCGTCATCCCAGGTCTCACCACGCTCTTTTGAAGCAATTATTTAAAATGTTGCGCGGAAAAGATTTCGATTGTTGTTTATAGTTGTTCTTCTTGTTCTTCTGTTTTGTGTTGGGTGGCAAACAACTTCCGGAGGGGCATTACCGCCAACTACTGGAATGGAGTGTGGATCGGGATGTGCAGCCAGACGGAGATGACGCGTTCTGCTCATGCGCTCTTGTTATCAGAGAACCGAGCCAGGGAAAAACCGAGCCGAGCCCACCTCCTGAACTGGTCTGTAGTTAGCGCGGTCCGGTTGTGTCTAGCTCGGTTCAGTTCAGTTTGCTTTCCATTTACACACGATAAGTTATCTCAGTTACTGAGCTCGGACCGGTCTCGACACGGTTTTTCAAGGGTAGTGTAAATGGGGTAAAAGCATCCAACCCAATTTAGAAGATGTGGTCAGATGGTTGGAACTCATATGGGTTCTAACAGAACATTTAGCTCAATATCTTATCAGAACTAGTTCTAAAATGGGTAACGCTAGACCGGGCCAACCTTAAGTTGATACTCTGTGGTGTAGAATGGACAAATGTCAGGATATGATGACTGGAGGTTTCTTCCTATTAGAGGGGGGTTTCTCCTCACCAGTAGCCAAAGCATTCTTGGTTTGAGTGATGGCTCAAACCAAAGTGAATAACCAATGCAAGGCAACGTCTACTATGACCACTTGCTCATCCAGAAGGAGCAAGTCCTGCAAAGACAATGACTCAATGCAGTGAGCTGGATTTTGTAAGATTACTAAGACTTTCTCCAACTCACAAAATCTTAGAATATCATGTAAGTTCATAACATTTTGAATATATTGTATTGTACAGGTATTGCACCTAAAACAGTCCTCTGCAATAAGAATAATTCACAGCCTAAAACTGCAGAGATGGTAGACTTGTTTTTACTGTGCAGCCTTAGTCTTATGCCAGGAAGTTAAGTCTACGAAGGTGTGTGATTTCTCTGCACATTACTCAAGGTTGCATAAACAAATCGAACAGTGAGGGGTTTATTTATTCATTTATGTCAGAGTTTTATGTATTTCTTTCATCCTAAGTAGTTTTTACTCGATAGATTTCAACCTCTGCATCCTTGTGTTGTTTTGCAAATCTGCTCTGCTCCTTTTAAGAGACGAATCCTTAAAGGTTCTATTGGCAGTTAATGTTTTTTATTTGCTCATATATATATTAATTTTTAATAATTAGTTGACCAAACTTATTGTTTTTTTACTTCCTGCATTATTTCTTTTAATGTAGTATTTTTAACAGTATTTTTTCAAATCTAAAATAGATTTATAGATGTAACAGACTCATCTCATAGTTGTAGTTTTCTTTTAAAGTGACGACAAAGAACGTTTATTTAAATGATGTGAGAAATGAAATTCTGGCTTGATGTTCTTTAGAGCAACTGAGGAATGTGGATAAAGGCATGGACCAGATCAACCAGGATATGAGACAGGCTGAGAAACACCTGACCGACCTGTCCAAATGCTGCGGCCTGTGTATCTGCCCCTGCGACAGGTAACCGCTCCCCTCCTCATCCCCTTTGAGTGTATTTATAACCCCATGTTCATCAGTGTTCCTGCTCCTACAAAAACATATATACAAAAAAGTGCAAATGATTGCTAAAACATTGCATGCAACACAACATGTCAACACATTGCTTTAATGTTTAAAATCTCTTTAAACACATCTGTGAGTCTATTTTTCATATAGTCTTTTTGCAAATGTTGGTAAAAGCAGAGTTCTACTCACCATTTATAATAAATTAGCTCGACAAATGTGTGTTCTTAGGAAGTAATGACTGTGAAGCGTTTGAATGTTGTGCATTTGATCCTAAACATGGATAAAATCTTTTTGAAATGCTTTCACTTTGGAAATGGAGATACTTTGATTATCAAGACATCAGGTAGGGAACCTTTTACCCTGATTCTTCAATCAAACAGCGTCTAGATTAGTTTAACCTGCTTAGAAAAAGCTATTTAGCCTTTGTCTAATGTAACTGAAATATTGATCTGGACTTGTTTTGTTTTTCTTCCAGAGTGTCGTCCATTGAGAACGACTCACGCTACAAACGCACATGGGGCACCGGTGAGGTGGAAGGCGAAGGAAGAGATTCAAAAGTTGTCTCAAGGCAGCCTTCAGGTGTTCGCAATGGCCAAGCCCCCCAGGTCAACGCCCCGCAGCAATCGGGCCCATACATCAATAGGTAGAGCGCGGATAATTTCCTTTTTTTTTAAGAACTCCTAACTATTACTATTTACTGTTTTAAAATATGCATAATCTGTTATAGAATAAAGTCTGAAAGAGGTCTTTATTCTGATAATCCTAAACAAATCTCAATGTCAGCAATGATGTCCCCTGCTCAGTAGATGGAGTCAGCCTATATGTAAGATTGATGCTTAGCATGAATTCCACCTTAGCTGTTGAAGAACGCTTTAATTAGTCATGTAATGGTGGCAGAAAGGACAAGTTCAGCCCCAAACCCAACAATCCTGATTAAATATATTAAAGTTGTAGGGAAATCATATTTAAATGTCAAATCATTCTGGCTTAAATAAAAATAAATGTGCTCTTTATTAGACTATATTGTACCAAAATTTAGAAAATTTCTATTTAAAAAAAAATCCTTTCTTAAAATCTGTTGTTTTTTTGTTTTTTTTGTTATTTTATGCAGGCCAGTTAGTTATACATCAGCTTAACCTAAATTCGACCAATTATGTATCAACGTTCATCTGTCAATCTAATGTTTTCGGTCATGGCATCTTGATTCATATGTCGCAGCTAATATAGGCAACGGTTGAATTAAGAAATCAGAATCATTTCCTTTCCCATTGAGCTGCGTCCCAGTGTTCACGGGGATGGACGTCTGTGTCTTCAGCAGGCGTAGAGCTAACAGAACTGGCAGCGTTGCGAGGCAAGGGCTCAAACACGTACGGCTGTAAGCCTTCTACACCAAACCAAGCTTCTGCCGCCCTGGCGTCCTCTTCCACAACATCTTTGTCCCCGCTTTCCTCCTCTAAATAAAAAATGGATGACGGAGGAGACTCATCCACAACCTCCGACACTAAACTCTCCTCCTCTTGCATGTTTCCGCTGTCCATAGCGTTCCTTGACAGTGTTGTTTCTAAGTCACCAATTTAGTGCTACTTGGTCACAATGGAATTTCCCATTGGGAACCTGCTAGCACTAAGTTGCTAACTGGTTAGCAAGATGCTTCTGACAAACTTGCCACAATAAAACTTGCTTGCAAAGCTTCCGCCACAACAATCCCGCCCTCTTGATAATCAACCAATCACATTCACTTTATTCACTCGTGTAAAGTCGAGAGAATTCGGAAATGCAGCGGTTGGAACGGCCGCTTCCCTACGACTTTAAGGATTGTTGTTGTAATGTGAAAGTGTGAAAAGGTTAAATCAATAAATACCTTTTAAAAAGCGTTGGATAGAGAAAGTAATTGTTTTCTGGTTTTTCAGAGTAACTAATGATGCAAGAGAGGATGAAATGGAGGACAACCTTCAGGCAGTTGGCGGCATCATCGGTAACCTGAAAGACATGGCGCTGAATATGGGCAACGAGATCGACAAACAGAATGTCGTGATTGATCGTATCAACGATAAGGTGAGTCTGATAGGAGATAATAAGGCCAAGTTCAGGCAAAATTCAGTTGGTTTTTCCTTTTTCTTGTTCTTGTTCCAAAGATTGTGAAGAAGGCAGCCTTTAGAGTTTTACTTACAGCTGACAAAGTCAAAATCACATTGGCAGGTCATCAATATTTTGAAATTCAATGTTTGTATCATTGGATAGAAGGAAATGGAAAAAAATCCCATTTCTGGTGGAGACCCTGCATCCCCTGGGTCAAGTCAGAATCCAAGGACACACAAAAATGATGAATTAATTTGACAGTCAGTCAGAGCAGGCCACCATGACAGATCTAAAGGGCTTCAGTCTGAATCTGGATCTCCTCCAGTGGTCCAACCAAAGCCCTGAACATGGCGAGTCCCACAGGGAGCAGCTAGGAGTTACTTTCCATCAAGTTATTTGTGTGGTTTTTTGTTTTTTTCTTTAAAAAAAAATCATTAAAGGTGCTCTTAAGCATTAAACAATCTTAAAAAAAAAATTTAACCTTGGAAGGTTTTTAAGATTATATAAAATCTTATTTGAAATGCAAATTAATACTGAATGGAAAAAGTTCTGTTCTTCCTTATAGTTCATTATAAGTTGCAGTAGTGGTTTGTGATGTAGATCATTCCTACCTTGCACCAACATGTCAGTGACCCTATTTTCCCCATAAACAATAAGCATTTTGCGGCACATCTTTTATGGCACTTAAAAAGATGTTGCAAGACTTGGTATGAAAATATTTTCCCACTTGTTCATGATTTCTATGTATTTCTCTTTTTTTTTTCTTCTTTTCTAAGAATTAAAGTGCGTAAAAGTACTGCAGGTCCTTTAATAGCCGTGGTAGCTACAGTATAAATCCAACCGAAAAAAATAAATATTTGCGAGATTATCCAGATTTATGGATCTAAAGATGTATCCTAAATCTTTATCTGGCTGCACTTAAAGTAATGAAATGGAAATACATTCTGCATTTATGGACTCGAAAGAGTGAAGTTTAATATTTCTGGGTCTTTGAGTATCTACATAACATTTAAGGATATTAATTATACATATACTTTCTTGTACATTACATTTTTTCATCTGTAAGATGATAGTTTGTCTGTATCTGTTTTGTTTTTTTTAACCCATTTCCCGTTTCCCTCAGGCGGACATGAACAAACTGCGCATCGACGAGGCAAACCAGCGAGCTAACAAGCTCATCAAATAGACAAGGAATCTATCTGCTAATCTTATACATCCACTTTGAGCCTATTTTGCAACACACATGCACATTGTATATGTCTGCACCTGCACAAACACACCAAGATAGAAAAAAAAAAAAAAAGGAAATTGGGTTTAAAGACATTTTCCCAGCAGTGTGCCTTTGACACAGTCTGCTAATCAATGTTAATAGCTTATGCAGGAGCATCTGAAGCAGAGTGGGAATCAGAAACTGAACCAAAGAGGAAGTGATTGACCACTCATCGCTGCGGTTTGATACCAAATATCCACCGGGCCTGTGGCAGCTTAACATCCACCGTGAGGGAAGGAGCTCAGGTCGTCAGCTTTCCCCACTATCTGTGTGTGAGTGTGTGTGCTGTGAAATAAACGGCCAAGGTCACTGATCCACGCTGAAAACTGTAGTTAAGAGATATAACAGGAAAAGTCAATTAGAAATATAGCACTCGAATCCAAGGTTAAATATGTAATAAAGTTCAATGTGTGGCATATTGTTTTCGTCTGAAACGCCAATTTGATTAACAGCCAAGCAGACATGGTTGGAGAATAAAGCTGTCTAGTTTAACTTGGTTCCCATGTTGTGTTTGCTATTTCAGATGCGCAGGTGTACCCCAATGAAACGTCTATAGAGCAGCATTCATTTCATTCAGAAAGTGACCCTCAAAACACAGTGTGGTATATTCCACTTTCAACCATTATAACAAACGTCCTTGTGTTCCTTTTGCTTAATTGGGAAAGACTATACTAATCACTCAGTATGCAGTCATTCGATATAGATAAAAAAAAATATATAAGATTTAGCTAAAACATACTTTCAAATATATAACTTGTGTAACGAGTGTCACTTTCTGACTTGAATGATTAGAAACACCCCTTTGATGAAACAATGCTTCATTGAGATGCACCTGTAAATGCTATTTCAAAGAACCATTTGAATCCCAAATGTGCCTTTTGGAGTGAATCAGAACAAATCTTTTCATGCTGGAATTAAAAACCTTTCCTATAAATACGTCAGATGCTTCAGATTGAGGGAGACTTGAGGTTTTTGTATAAATATGACTATATCCTGTGAGAAGCATTACATACAAATCACTCATTAATTTATTTGTTCCTAAAGCATTTAGTCTAATATCAACACTGAATCTGGGGAAAGGATGACAGGATGTTCCATTAAACCATCCGCTGTCTTACATTTATCTTTAGGTTTTTTTTGTTTTGTTTTTTATAGGTTTTCTTCTTAGATTACAGTGTTGATGTAAATATGAAATATTCTGTAACTGTTTATCTGCCTGTTATTCTCTCAATCCAACAACATTTTTTCATCTTGGTAAATATTTATCACTTTCAGATACAAAATAACAAACTCCTTCATAAATCAGTTAAATCAATAAACTTCCCTCGATGTTCTGTAATCCCACCATCTGTAAACATAAAAAAAAAAACAAATGTTCAGTCCTGAAGCACATTTGTAATTTATATATATTGTTTTTTCTCCTGTCATTTGGGCATTGTTTCTGTTTTAGGGGATATTCTGTAGCTTAGTGAGACTTGCCGTTTATTTTTTTTAAGGTATATGATGATATAATCCCAAATACTGTGTTGTAACAGTGGTATTACTGAAGCTCCCGTCTTTCTGTTTTAGCAGACAGCTGCAGTAAATGTTCCACCTCACCATAAAATACATCATCTTAATATTTCTTTGTCTAACAGCTAGGCTGAGGAATTACAGCTGGCAGCAGGACGCATGGATATACACAGCATGTAAATGAGTTAATTAAGGGGTAAAGGCCGAATGTATCTGCTGGTTCCTGTCATGTTCTCACTGGGTACAGAGCGGCTAATGATGGTAGCGCTGAACCTGTTTCCCATCAACATCTTCTGGCTTATTTGTTATGAAAAACAGACAATGGTCTGTCTGCTTGGCTGCAGGCAGGCGCCTGCGTTTGTAAAGGTCGATATTGACTTGTTTAGTGCTTTGTGAAGAGATAAGCGATCATCTTCATCCTGTTAATGTAAAATTAACATCTAATTAGTCTATAACTGCCTTGCAACCATCTCTTCTTCGTGTCACCAACAGCTACTGGAATGTAAAGCAACATTTGTTTATTTTTAATGTGTATGCAGCTTGACTTTGGAAAACATTGACTGTTTAAAATGTATTTCATCTTTTCTTCCCCTTTCTGTCCCTATCCAACTGTTTATACTCAATAAACTAAACTCTGAAGTTCATTTTAATGCACCTTTCTTGAGTTATAAGCAAATGTTAAATGATGTAGGTATTTAGATTGGAGTCCGTCATGATGCAAACGTAAATGCTGGTGTGTTGTAGTACACACAAAATACAACACACCTCTCTAATGTACCGACATGTGGAAGGGCATTAAGAAAAGGGATATATGATATATATATATATATATAGAGAGATTTTTTTTTTTTGTATAAAACAGGCATACTCATGTACACATGAGTTCTCCTTTGTGTAATATGACTTCAAACCTAAAAACATGTCTTATTAATCAGACAAGTAACAAATAAGACGTTTATCATAAGGCAATCTGTTCACAGTACAACAGCTTCACACATCAGTGATTTGGTATTTAAGAAGGAGTTACAATAAAACTGAAAATAATTTCAATTTTTTATAGTTTTAAAGTTTTTAGTCTTTTCCACATGTGAAGAAGAGAGCTGATTTGGAAAGTGAATTGGTGTGGTGAGACCTGAATCAAACGTGCGACAACGATTTAGAAAATGGACACTAAGCCCTTTATTTATCAAATGGTAGTAGTAGAATAATGGTGTTGGGATGAGTTTCTCCGGCAGGAACTGGGAAGCTTGTCAGAGCCGATGGGAGGACAGATGGAGCCACATTCATGGTGATCACGTAAGAAAATATTTAAGGCGGCAAGATACTTGTAAATGGTGTAGGTTTGTGGTATGTGCTCCTGAACAGCTGCTTGAACTGGTTTTGGACATGTCTGGTTCGGAGGTTTGTCCTCCAGCAGGACACAACCTTAGACATGTATCATATGTGTAAGAGTGTCGTAGTCTAATTCCAGAGGAGAATCTGGAGAAAGACCTGAAAAGTTGATCTTTTCTTTTTGCACCAATTATGCAAAAAGATAATCAGCAAACCGATTTAATATTTAGACACTGTCCAATGAGAGGTGCTAATTTAACTGCAGCAAAATGTGTTGCAAAGAACTGAAGAATAGAGGCTGAGCACAAACCCACTTTGATTCCATGCATCCCTTTGTTTAGGTCGATCACATAGAAGTCATTCTTTTTTTTTCTCCTGAAAAGTGTGTTGACACATACTAAGCACTGCTAGAGAAATGCTTCTATACAAAAAGTCAAAAAAGCCAATGCTTTCTGGATATTAGTTTTAAACTTTATTCTCAAAATGTATACTGATGTTTTCTCTGAACATTTGTTGGGTATTTTACATAGCTGGATAGTACAAAATGCAGATTAAAAACGAGTGAACAGAAATGGCACAAAGGGTAAGGAGTGGATGGAAGTGTGAGAGTAGAAGTGTCACATTCTGAGATAATTTAGATATAGACTAATAAAAAAAACTGAATAAATATAATATGCAACTATTTCAAAACCATTTTCTGGTGCATGTTTTTTTTGTACAAATGTCAAGTTCTCACCGTCTGTGAGAAGAATAGATAATAGATCAATAAATCGGTACTTCATTGCTGTAAAGAGAGATCATTAAATCTCCATTGAGTTGAACGGTGTGGCTTATATTTCTAAACATGGCTTTGATTGAGGTCACTTGAGTATTGGCTCAGAGATGGAGCCTCAGGTAAAAGGCAGGGTGGCAGTGTGAGACTGCATTAGTGCCACCACACTGACTCCTATGGCTTTTATACTCTAGAATGGTTTGCATGTATTAATTATTTTCCCTCATGATGTATTGCTCTACTGTGAAAATTCCCTCTCCTATTTTCACATAACCATGTTCCCTCACACTGCTGCGCTATGATCCATTCCTCTCTTGTAAAGTAGTTTATTATTAAACTTAAATAAGCGACAGCCCCTGGTTTGAACTCTGTATTCCTATTATTTGACTCTTAAGATCCTGATTGTCTTTTTGCATCTAGTAAATAAAATCTAGCCAGTTAGATGATGTAGTAATTTACACCCATTCAGTCGTTTTACATCTTCAATCAGACATTTTTGGGGGTTTTCAACATTACTTGAACAGTTTACTATGCCACAAACCCTACACTCATCTTCCCAACCCACAGCATGATACTGGTATTACTGTGTTTTGAATATAGGATTTCTGTGTCTGTGGGAGGTGGGCAGCAGTGATTAGGTTTTTTTTTGTAATTCCTGTTCATTTGATCGGACTTAATTTAGGACATTTGTTGTTTTCAAATGCTACCAGAAAGTATTAACTTACAGGTTCTATGGTGCCTGAACCTCCCTAAAAAATAATTTAATTAAATATCAAACCTCGTCTATCATATTTTAAACTTATAAACTCAGGCTTCCCAATTTACCAACAGGTTCAGTTGTTCTCTGTTTAATCCCTGCATCATTTTAAAGTGTTAACACCAGAATCTGATCAAGTCTTAGGTCTTTTCCAGCATCTAAGTTCTATCATCTGAGCTATCTGATTCAACACCTTCCTCCATTGTTTGAAGACATCACCACCATGATGCTTTCAACACCATGATTTGAATCTGTAAAATCAGACTTCCATGTAGTGCATCAAAAAAGATTCGGTGCTGATGTGTTTAGAAAAGAAAAACAAAAACAAAAAAAGCCAGAGATTCTCGCAAACCTGCAGAATTACCACTGAGGTGAGTAGTGGAAGTCTGGTTAATGTTGCAGTTTGAAGGCTTGTTACTGGACCACCTGCAGAGATGTGAGCCAACTTTATGAAACACCCCAAAACTTATTTCATTAGTGTGACTACAAGTTGTCGAGTTGGTCTTGGTTCAGGAATATCTCAATAGCACCATGTCAGCCTAATGTTCTCCATGCATCTGCAGATATATAGTGTATACATGTCAATGAATAGATATGAAAGTCAGAGTTCATTACACAAGTGTTAATATATTTGAAAATCACAAAGGTAACTACTGCCACGGATAAATTGAGAATACAGCCTGAATAAGATTATATTTTCAACTCACAGATTGTGGAGTTTACATGACCACTACCATAATAATAAAAAAAGGTCTCCTCAGTCAGATCCTTCCCAGTGCATAAAGCATTTAGTTTGCATAACTGCTATTAAACCTGCAGTGTGTGTGCCGTTCTGCACTGCGCCGAATCCTTTACTCATCTCCACAATCTTTACAATGCATTTTACAAAGCTGCTGTAAAACATAATCTATTTCACTCTGCGTCTGTATTTTAGCATTTAGTGCCCTGAACTCAAACAGCACAGTATTACAGTTCAACCATTTTATAAGGCAGATTGATGAAAATACCTTAATGTCCTACATGGCTTTATCAAAGCATGCTGTAACAGAGCACACACACACACACAAAAAAAAAAAACTTAGAAAAGCAAAGTTTTACAAACTATCTTTGGTTGAGTGTGAAGCATTCCTGTGCTTTAATTTACCCACTAAAATTTACTCTAAACACAAAGAAAAATGGACCTTTGTAATCTCACACGCGCATAAATACAGGCAATAGTGATGGCTTTAAACCTAAACAACACTGTTAGTTATTTTTCAGAAAAATCATATAAAAAAACTGATAAAAAGCTTGCTCCGACAGGGCCTCCTCACGCACTGCCTCCTCTTCCCTGGTTGCCTAGGCAACACCGTCTCCAGACGCCTCTCCTTTTTTCATTCACTTCTTCTTGGCAAAGCGGCTAAACTTCTTCTCCTTGTCTTTCTTGGCAGAGCTGGGCTCAGGCAGGGCAGCAGAGGAGGTGGGAGCGGTGGGCAGGCTGTGGGTTTTGGACCCCGAGGGGCCCGGGGCCTCCTCCTCTGTCAGGATCTGAACGGCCTTCTCCATGGCCTGGTTCCAACGCTGGAGCTCCTCCTGGAATTCAACACAAAAAAAAAAAAGCCCACATGGAGTTGGCTTAGAACAGGAAGAAAACCCCCAGAGAGGCGATGTGTGGTTCTATCTCGTAGTTTTATTTGGTCAGCTGAACAAATGGAGATACCCATGTTTGTAACGCTGGGTGAGCTGCACTCAGGGTCACAGACTGTTACTATTTAAACCAGGAAGGCTGACTGCCATGTGATTCGTTAAAAAGACGTCTCTGCAGTTTAAAAAACATACCTCATCTTTACACTGGAACAGATATTCGCTTCCGTCGGCCAGACTGTGAAAGCAAAGAACACATTTAATACAACTGCACATCTACCAAATCACAAAGATTTAATCTTAACACAGCATTCAAATCTCTGGTGAAAAGAGTCACGTCATAATCCTGCTGTAAACTTTACAGCTCCAAGACATAATCTTTTTATGTCTGTCGGGTTTTAACCACAACTCTCCAGTATTTTATTGGGACTTTTATGTGACTGAAGATAAAGTGAGATGGAGGGGAAATGATTCATCTCAACTAATAATCTGTGGATAGTTTTCAGCAAACTTTAAATACTTGAGTAAACCAACAAAGCGATTCTAACAAGATGAAATTCCCTTTAAAAGAGGATGAATATTTTTGTATTTTCCAGGTAAAATTCTGGAGCCACGTCTCTTTAATAAAGCCTTTCTTGAGTTTCTGATTTGTGTAATCTCTTCCTTGGGGAGCCGGTATGGTTGCAGTCCCTCCTTTGAACCAGCTGCTTCGTCAAACTTTATTTGACATTTGATAAAAATCCCTCCAGCTTCCAAATATCACCTGCATGGCACTCAGGAATAAAAGCACCTCAGTCAGAATTCAGTGCAAGTATTTGTTAAATTATTACCTTTAAAGTGTTTTTTTTTCTGGACATATTAACAAGGATCATGTTTAATTTTCCTAAAATGTAATCTCTGCTTTGCGTGACTTGCTCGTCATGGATTTCCTTCATTTATCGGTGCTCAGGTATTCATATCGATGGATCTGGTGATAGCATCACCTGCACTGTTTTGAACATATTCAACCCCAATATCCAACTGTGGAGAAAGCAGTTGTGTCCAACCTTTTTTTACAGCTTTCACTACAAAACCAACCAGCAGTAACTTCACCTGTGCAGCTTATTCTCAGAGGTGTAGCCAGAAAATTTTAATAGGGGTGGCCAGTCAAAAACCACTGTACACTGAGGGGTGGCCAAAAGTGGATAGTCGCCAGAACCTCAGAGTCAATTTACGCTGTTCCAACAGGAACAAACTATACTTTCCTACAGCCTTTGCTAGCAAATACATATTTAAACATACATTCTGTCTAAATAAAAGCTATAGTGGACAAAATGTATTTTCCATTGGCATTACTTACCTACTTTTATACTACTTTTAGCATAAAATGTACTAATATCTACATTAAATTGATTTTTAAGTAATCATTAAAGTAATTATTTATCTATGATTTCACTGAAGACTCCTAAATGACCTGCAGAGACACATTATTTTCTCTTTACCCCATATAAAACAAAGTTTAGTTCTGTAAAGAACATGAATTCTGTATATGTCAACTTTAATGTTTGTATTTTGATGTGCATTATTAACCGCTGCGTTTTTCAAGTAATTGTTAATATAAGAAGAATTAAAATGTTTAATAAGTTGGAACATTCCCCTTGAGAGTATTACTGCTGCCACCCCTACTGCTGGTAGGGGTGGCCAATGATTGGCTAAGGGTGGCCATGGTAACCTCTGGCCCCCATCTAGCTCCACCCCTGCTTATTCTTACAACCTACCTGGTTTGCCTTTCTGTCTAACAGAAGAAACATTTTGATAGATTTTTTTAATTTTTTATTTTCAGTTTTTACATTGATATCCACAGTATGAATTATTTATGACCAAAATCATCTTCTGCCTTTCTTCATGGTGGAAAAGTGAAAGTTTTCTTACAGTTATTTCAACCTTCCCAAGCTGTGAGGGCATCATTTATCTTTAGATCCTCCATCAGCTGCTAAAAGGAACCCAGAGTTGTTGAGTGATACCACAGAGCGGCGGTAGAATTAATCAAACCTCCCAGCTGTCTTTAGCTGATGCTTTATTTAAGGCTAATCAGTGGAAGACCAGAAATCATACATTTTATCATCCTGTCACTTTTTTTTAATGAAGAGAAATGAGACAATAGATTTTTTTTACTGTATTAATCTCTTAACTGGTTTCAGATTAGTCTACTTAGACCTGTATTTTAATTCATTTATACTGGGCAGATTTTTATGGAGGACCAACTCTGCCATATTTAAAAATCAATACACAAATAAATACATGCTCAATAAATAAATAAGCATACAATTAATTGCCATTAAAAATACAATAAACAAATAAATGTAAGTAGAAATTAAATTATACAGTGAGACATAAATGTATATAACTCTTAATTAGCTTCTTTATTTATTTGCCTTTGTAATATTTACCTTATTTATTTTTTGTCTTTATTTTTTAACTAGTTATATTTTTAAGTATTTATTTATGTGCATGTTATAATATTTTTGTCTGTTTTATTCTTCCTTTGTATTTTTTTACCCTAGTTATTTCTTCGCCGCTATTTATTTCTGTCTGCCCTTTTTACATTTACATTTATTGGGCATTTATTTATTTATGTATTTATTTTTAAATATGGCAGAACTGGTCCTCCATAGATTTTAGGTTTGTCTCAATATAGTGGGTTTTGTTAATACATTGTGATAAAAATATGCTCTTATTGGAAATTCACAATTTTTATCCTTTTTCTAATTTCTCAGGTAGGAACAAATTTTACGAGTTCTCCAGAGTATACGTAGGAGTTTTGCACAATCATTCTGGATTAATTGGATTAACTGTGATAAATAGTTTATTGAAATAATAATCAACTAATTTAGTGATCATTTAATCAATAACTGGAGTATTGTGACTTTAAAATATGCCTTTAGCTGACAGAGCACCCGTCTTAGAGCAGTAATTATACCAAGATTGTAAAAAAAAAATGTGAATATTTTGCATTTAAGATTTTTTTTTAAACTCTGTCTGTCAATATGCTCTATCCAGAACTCCACAAGTGGAAAAATTTTAGTTTCATTTGGTTTGATTTCGTAAAAAAGTCTTCTTTAAGGAATCATTGGCTATCCGATTATTACTTGATTCTTGATTGAAAAAATAATCGACAGATTGATCGATTTGCAAACTAATAATTAGTTGCAGCTCTACTTAGAAGCAATTAGTCAATACTTGCAGCTAATAGGTAGGTGTGCAGAAGACACTGCTTTAATTTTTTATGATTACATCAAAAAAGAGAAAAGTCAAAGATTAAGCTACTATTGAAATCACACCTGGAACAGAAAATGGAGGGAAAGTTCAGCAAAACACCTCTAATGGTAAGACTTGCAGTCATTTCACTCCATTGCAGCTCACTGGTTTTATTGTTACACTAAATGCTTAATGTTTGGGGTTTAAAGTTTTTCTTTAGAGTTTTCCCATCAACATTTTATATATATGTTTAAGGGTTGTTAGAGAGATGGAGAGTATGATGAATGGATGGAGGACATGTTATACAGAACATGTTAGTGAAGGGTCCAGCAACACTGATGTGTCAGCATCATAGAGCAGAACCCTGACGGTGCGCGTATCATTACAGGACGTGACCAATACAGGAGCTTCTAATTGACTGAAGCACTAAAATGTGTATATATATGTCTCTGTATCTGCAGAAAAAAAAAATGTCTGGTCTTTCGCTGTTCATCATCAAAATGATGAAGAGTTATGAAGTTTATTTCAAACAGGGTCTTAGTTTACGGTTTTTATTGTACTTATTGTTTCACATATTATTTTTGAAATATTGTCTGCAAGCATCCTCATTTCCATGTTCACTTTATGATATCAGATATTTTCAATTTAAATGTAGATATGACATAATACAATGTAATCTACAATAAGTTATTACCATAGAAAGTCCAGAATTGTTCAAAAATAGTGAAAGAACCCCAATTTAGCACAGATATGGTGCACACTCTTAGTGTCTGCAATGGCGATGCTGGGAAAACACCCCCACCCTCCTTTCTGCACAGCTTGTTTTTAGATATTAAAACTTCTTTTGCTCACAACTGATTGTTTGATTACTAATGATGCACCAGTTGAGTTTCCCCATTAATCTTGTAAGATTTTTTTAGATCTTTCCAATATTTTCACCCATAGATGGAGATGGAAAATGTTGGAGATAAGGTGATTGATGTATTCATGATTTGCTCCAAGAATTTTAAAGAGTAAATTTATTTGTAATCTTGCTGTGAATTAAATGAGTAGAAAGGCAAGTAAAGCATGTTTAAAACATGTAACGCTCCAGGCTGATGGATGAGCCTGATAAACAAGTCTAACAGATGAAGGGAGACAGTGAAGGAGAGAAATCAATGTTTTAACATCACTAAAGCTATAACAGTGCTGTGAAAAGCTTCCTCCCTTACAGGTTTATTCTGGTTTTGCTTTTTGCCAAACTTAAAGGTATAGAGGAGGATGTTTGTTTTTTGTTTTTTTCTGTGTCTAAATAAGTGGTCTTCCTAATTGTCAATCATTCTGGTGATATATTTATGTAAGGCCGTCCTACGTGCTTGTTCCCATTTTCACTTACCGGTGGTGATTGATTGATTTTATTATTACAGACTCAAGGTCCAATATACATTAAAAGAAAACAGATACACTAAGAATAAAAATAAGTTTGTCTGACATTGAGGAAAATTTGCAATTCTTCTTTTGGAAAGTAAGCTTGTATGAGCGATGCAAACAGCGAAGCAAACAGAGCATCAACGAGGAGAAATGGGCTCCTGCACGTGTTTAATATGCATTCCCACTCGAGAGTGGAGTGGAGTAGGCGGGTCTTTTCAAAAATTTGCGAAAATCATCCACTATACCTTTAAAGGCTTCATATCCTCAAATAATTGTGACAGATTACCTCGGTAAATGCAGAATTTACTTTTCAACTGATTATCCCATTAATGGCAAAAAGCTGTCCAAACTGACCTGGGCCTACAGTATGCGTAAAAGCAGATAGCTCATATCGCCGCCTTGGCAAACATTTTGATAATGAACTGGAGATTAGTTTTTAATTTCATTTTGAAGGAAGTTTAGTTCAATAATAATAACTGAACTTTATTGATCTCACATTCTGCATTTAACCCATCCCCTTGGGCTGCCATCATGGGGCGCCCGGGGACCAGTGTGGGGTTAAAGGTCTTGCTCAGAGAGCCAGAGTTGCAGTCTGTGGGAGTGGGGCTCGAACTCAGAACCTCAAAGCTCTATGCCCTAACCACTAGGCCGCCACTCCACAGCCACCAGTTCAATCTTCTTTATAGAACTTTTGGGATTTAAACACTTTGCAATTTTTTTAAACATGTAACCTGTTAAAGTTTAAAAGTTAAGGCCATTGCATCTAAATGAGTTTGTAATTTTGACTAGGCCACTTCAAAGGGTTCTATTTTTACAATTTAGATAAAACTGCTGAATTTGTTCAGCTCATTGTCCTGCAGAATAATCTGGGTTTGAACATATGCTGACAAACTGATAAGATGTTTACTGTAAATAATTCAGTAACAGGACAAGGTTACATATTCAGTTGTTTTCAACATTGTACTCATGTCTCACCAGTCCACAGATTTCCAAAAGCCGAAGTGTTTAGTTTGAAACTCGTCATTTTTGAATCATTCAACCTCTTCTTTATTCTTAAACTACAAACTCTGACCTTCAGTGAGGCTTGGTGTGCTTTAGATTTTCAGATTTCTTCTGCGACCACCTGGTTGAGTCATTAACGCCCTGCAGGAATAAAGTCTTCCTCTTCTGGGACGGTTCCCCGCAGGTCCGTGTTTTTCTCCATTAGGCTTTACTGAACTTCTTTTTCTAGCTAATAAACGTCAAAATTCTTTAGTTTTAATCTTTCATTTGATCAGGGTATCACACGCTGTGTTTTTTAGATCTTTTAGATCTTGATTTGCTGATTCATTAATCAGGCCTGGATGAAGATGATGAAACTTTATTCATCTTTCAAAAACTTTAACTAATCTCAGTTAAAGGTAAAGTGGAGGATTTTCATGAATTTTTGAAAAGACCCATGTGCACGAGCCCATTTCCCCTCATGCATGCTCTGTTGAAAAGTTGCTCTTTGCATCGCTATTATAAGCTTACTTTCCAAAAGAACATTTGCAATTTTTGTAAGACTCAGCACCAATAAGTGAAAATGGAGACGAGCACGTAGGATGGCCTTATGTAAACATATCACAAGAATAATTGAAAATTAGGAGGACCACTTATTTTGATGATCCATGCGGAAAAAGAACACCCTCCACTATACCTTTAAGTCATCATTTAACAAAGTGAGAAATTCATTTCTACTTTTCAGGCTGGTTCGGACAGCTTGATTCCAATAAAAGCAGATATTATAGATCCGATTTCTTGTCTAACTTACATTAATGAGAGACAGTTGGTAAGGAGTTAAAACAAAAACTTTTTCACAGCACTGTATACACTAGGGCTGATCTGTTGATGTGAGCAATTTGAAAAAAGTGGAGTGGAGTCACACAGAGTTAAAGTTTAGGATTGTTTCTCAGCGGGAAGCTGAAGGGTAGAGGCAATGACTCTCTGCAGTCACTGAATGTCTCTGCTGGTAGCTTCAGAAACATCTGAAAAATGTGAAATCCTTAAAAGCTGCCATGGCTGTCATTGTTCAATAACCTTTCTTCACATGGGGCTTCAATTTTCTCCTTAGAAAAAAAAGAAAGGTGTGTTGGAGGACTTTAGACAAGATAACAATGATATGTGACAAGTATAAGCAAATCCAAACCCATCTGAAGAAAGTGAAATGCATTGAGTTGACTAAAAACCATTTATCGCAACCTGGAGGTCGACTTGATTCTTACCGCAGCTTGGCAACATTCTTCTTTTTCTTATAGCTAGGGAGGATCTCCCAGGTGGCGTTGCTTAGGGGTAGGGGGTCTTCACCGTGATAAGTCGTTCCATGACCAAAGCTTTTGGAGTCCTTATACGCCGACAGCTGACCTGGCCTCAGCACACAGTACAAGTTGTTCCATGTCCTGGGTGTGAAGACACAAAGGCAGAACAGATGAAGATCCGGACAGTTTTTTCTCTGATGTTTAACTTCAAAAAGTTGCTCATTATAGTTTTCTCCTTTGTCTAAAAGTTGTGAACCTAGATAAAGGCATGTAGATGTTTAACGACATCCTTAAATCTTCAGCAGTGAACTGAAAATGTATTTAGTTTTATTAACATTTATGACACCAGGCTGCAGGAAGTTATAACCGAACATCGTTCCTCTAACGTGCAGCAAGTGACTTTATCTTCTGTTCAGCATTCTCAGGTAATATGCAAACTTTCACTGAAGTGTTTTTAGCATAACAGGGAGTCATTTTTGTGATTGATGGCAGTTTATTTGTGGAAAGCATTCATTATTCATGCATTCATATTCATTGATAATTGTGAGTCTCGCTGTGACACCAAATAATTGGATGCTGGGTTCACGCCTAATGAGGGATAAACAGATATTTACATAGCAGCCCTTTTGAAAATGATATAAAAAGACGCTAACATCCCCAAATGTTTCATGCTACGTATCCCTTTAAATTACTTTGCTCTTCCTCTACATAGTTGGTATGTTTCAATACCAATTATCTGATGAAATGCACAGTTCCAGTTAGACGAATACACTCATCGTTGCCATGAATCCCCTATCTTGGGCCTTTTAATGGTGCCTTTGCTATGTTCTTTTTAGCAGAGTGGGATGGTTATATAACATACAACTTTAATGATTGTTAAAAGCAAGAATATGAAGCAAAACGTTTAATTTACGACCAGCTTTTTCTAATCCACATTTGGTTCTAATTGTCCATACAGGGTAAACTTTTTTGGTTGCTGTTTGCAAACTTCTAGAAAAGTCTTGGTTGGATTTTTGAAACCCCTTCTTATCAGAAATTGTAGATTTTATTAAAGTTGGTTTGTTTAATGCAGAGGACTAAGCTGTGAAGCGTGATCCATATATTCTGTAGTTGGGAGTTTGGGGATCATTATTCTATCAAAACATGCAGATCTGAGTTTCAGCCATTTAGCTTGTGATTGAAGATGAAAAATTTGGAAGTTATCTATATTAATTCATCCCCTTTTCAACATGCACTAGGTGAGCAAAAACAGGCTCCCAGCATGATGCAGCCACCACTGTGCTTAAAAGCTGTTGGAGAGCTGAGGTGTAAGACCCTGCAATGACTCCTGTAATACTTCTTTATTGGTTGTCTCTCTTTAAAAAAAATTTTTTTTGTTTGTCATTCAGTCCAGTTTGCTTGCGTTGTTGGTCGTGTTCTTGTTAATTAGTTTTAGGTTCATGCCAGGTTTGAGCCTAAGGGGATACTGCGTCATTCCTGAACATCCTGAGCAGTTTTCTTCAAGCTGAGAGGGAGAGATTTGCTCTAAAAAAAATGTTACTAATTAGTTTTATAGCTTATAGTATATATATATATAGTTATCTAAAACTAAAATTAAAACTAGTTGAAAGTTGGAAAAGATAAAGCTAGTGGACTGCAGCCTTGAATATACCAACTTCAGATGTATATAACAACTTATGCCACACATAAGTGGGGGTGTGTGTGTTTGTAATTATTCAGGTCAGTGTGGTTCGGTGTGGACTAATAAAATCTCCAAAAATTATCATTTATGTTGATAAGGGAATGTAAACTTCTCACATAAGTCAGATAGTGGAGATCCTAAAACATGCATAAGCACACACTAATCACTGCACACTGAGTAGAGGCATGGTGGATTTTTCTGCTGTCACCGACCTGTTAGATGCCTTCTTTCCAGAACCCTCTACATCATGTTTGCGGCACAGCATTCCCTCCTGCAGCACCATCTGAGTCCTTTGGGTCTCTGATGGCAAGGTGGCCGCCTTCTCTGGTTCTTTAGGAGTCACAATGGAGACAGAGGGCTCCAGCTCCAGAGAAGCACTCTCTCTAATCTCTGACACGATAGGCACCGTGGAGTCACCAGCAGTCCCATCCATCTGACCTGAACTGGGCTCCATCGCGCCGGACTGGGGCAAAAAAAATGTAAAAATTCATCATTCTTAATTTTTTTTAAATTTTATACAATAGGGTGGGTATAGGTACAAAGGAACATGTTTGAAATAGACATCATTAAAGGTGAATGAGATGCTTTCAATCTCCTAAATCTGGCCTTGGAAAAACAAAAAGCAGTGGTTTAGCTACTAACCAGGGTCTGTTCCTCAATAGTGTGGAGTTGCGAAGATTCTTCTACAAAGCCTGTGTCTTCTCTCCTAAGCAAAAACACACAAAAAAACAGAAGACAAAGAGAGACACTGTGTTCTTATTAACAGTTTAAACACATTTATCTGGATCTCCCAGAAAGAATAAACCCAAAGATGAACTTTTCTTGATGATTCTGGGCTCCTTCGCTCTATCAGTTCTCATTTTTCACTTACAGGTCGTGTCATAAATAAATATTAGTATTTTTGGAGTGTTTATTTGCTCTCCAAGTGTCTAAACATGTGTCTTTACCTGCTCTCTCTATCTGAGCGCTGCTCATCTTTAATGAACTGCTCTATCTCCTGTTGCTGCTTCCTCAGCTCCAACAACTCCAGCTGCAACACAAAAACCTGTAGTTATTTCTATGGCCAACACATTTGTTAACAACTCAAAACATGTTTATTAAAAAAAGGACATGATGTTTTTCTTGGTTCTCGTAAGATCACTTATTCAGGATTCCAACCATGAAAGTCTAAAAAATTTTGATTTTACTACTACAATAAACTCTAGAAAGATGACTTTACAAATAGTTGAGACACTGTTGAATATATCCCGGGCTTTTCAACTGCAGGGTAAATCAGTCAGCATTTCCATAGAGTAGAGTGGCTGTGTGTTTCCTGGATGGGCCGCCTTTTACAGCTGCTTTTTGTATCTCTGCTTCTGTCTCCTTGAACCCCAGTCGGCCTCAGCAGATGGCCGCTCACACTGAGCCTGGTTCTGCTGGAGGTTTCTTCCTGTTAAAAGTGAGTTTTTCCTCTCCACTGTCGCTACAAGCATGCTTAATGTGAGGGATTGCATTCGAGTCAATGAGTCGATGCAATCAGCTGGTTTTCCTTAGATAGAAAACTTTGAATCAATTTGACTGGATGATCTGGTGAACTGTGAAGTGCTTTGAGATGACGTGTTACAAATTGGTGCTATAGAAATAAACTGAATTGAATTGGGTAGGTGTAGAATGCTCTGTACCGTAGTGAGGCGTTCCAGCGCTGAGAAGCGTTCCTCCCATGTGGCAGTGGATTTCTCAAAGGCTTCATGCCTCTTGAGGAGCTTCTCCACCTCGTCCACCGTCTGACCCAGATCCCTGCTGGTCACGTAGGGCTCCTGAGCGATCAGCCAGGCCTCGGCCACCGAAGCGTCCCTTGCAAACTGACAAACCTCCAGCACTGAAAGCAGCAAAGGCAGATGATCATGAGAGCTTATATGGGGTATTTTTGAAGAGGGAGAAACTCCTGCTGTTCCATCATATAGTCTGGGATCAGGGGTGAGGGGGGGGGGGGGGGGTTACATTACTCACAGAGGCGGAGCCAGTCCCATCTGTCGTCCCATTTGAACATCATTTCCTGCCTTTTTTCCATCAGCTGTACCAGCTTCTCTTTGACCTGACAGAAACGTTATGCCGTCACCGTCACATTTTATTTATATAAAAAGAAAAACTCATTATAATATTTTCTATTATACTCCAAGATTTAGCATTGTGAAGTAATTAACTGAACCCTCAGTTCGGGTAAGGGTCAATTGCTTATTTGAAATCTGTTTGCTTTTATCCATTTCTAATTAGTGTTTGCTTTCCTGACTTCCCTGATGAATGTTAAAATTTAACTTTTTGTTTTGAAGGCAGCCCAGTTGGTTAGGGAACAATTGCTCCAAGAAAAGCAATTAGATCAAAAGCACAGGCAGAAAAGGAGCCTCCTTTAGGTGCTTCTTCTTACCTCAGCAGAGTCGCGGTGTTTGCGATTCAACATAGACTTGCCGAGGTCTATGCAGTCGGTGAACTTGGCTCCTCTGGTTTCAATTTCTGAACGGATTCCCTGGTGGTACTTCTGCAGCAGCTCCACAGAGGAGACATCCCTGATGAGGGAGAGGATTAAAAGCAGAAACAGGACCAATAATACACTTTAATTGCTAAAATGAACGGGAAAAATCAGGGTTTCTAATTTAGAATTACAATTAAAGCTAAAATAAATTAAAGCTAAAAAAAAATACCTATAAAAGTACCATAAATGTCAAAACCTCCACTAAAAAAATTCCACTTTTTGTTTGTTAGAAGGCTGCACACCTGGGTTTCTCCTGAGTCTCTATCTGCTGAATGATGCTTTCCATCCAGGCCATCAAGTCTCGCACCATACTGAAGAAGCGGAACTTCTCGGCTGTGTCCACCAGCTGCGACCGCCGGCCATCCGACGCATCCAGCAGGCCCTTCCAGGCTTCAACAACCTCCCTCTCCATGGCCTGGATGGCGTCCTGCTTGTCCCCTGCGTACTGAGCTCTAAGTCTCAAGGCTGTCTCCTGGAACTGTTGAACCTGGAGGAAGGACATAGCAATTAAGAAATGTCATTTTAATGAGTCATTATAATGCAGTTTTAATGTGTTTTTCTTTTCCTCAAAGATAGAGTCAATGAGAAGTTTACGTCCAGTCATCATGGGCATCATTATCATATTAATCTATGGCTTTTGGGAATATCTCAACCTTCAAGTCATTTTAGATTTGGCTGAACAAGTTTGAATTTGTTGTGTGTTTTTACTTTTGGCAGGGTGAAAATTATACATTCATACTAACATAAAAACAAAAAGTAAAACAAACAAAAAATATCCAATTTGGATGAATGTCCGTTACCAGATTGCATAAAAACCAAAAACTTTTTGTAACCATCAACCATCAGAGATGTTAGCTCAACTAAATAGATTGGTTTTGTGCTACAGGACAGGCTAATTGCAGCAGGACCGAGGTCTGGGTCATCCCAGAATCTTAATGTTAGGCTGATTTCTCTATTCTAAAAGCAGTTCAGATGTGTGTCTGATCATTATCATGCCTAAGCTTTTACCATCTCACCACAATCAGCTTCTGCAAAAAGACAATAAGTTAAAATGATCAGTTGTCGTCCTAAATTGGTGTGGAGGATTTAAGGGGAGGCTTTTCCTAAAGTAAAAACACTGTTGTTACACGGTGGTGGCAGCATTGTCCTCTGGAGCTTCTGTATGAAACGATCAAGAAAGGCAATATTTAGAATGCCTTTATCTTTATAGTTATTCATCATTAGCTTTTATGGATGATTATGGTTTTTAAAGGTTTGTCATTAAAATTTAAACCAAGAAAATAAAATCTAATCATCTTGACATTATTCCTTGAACAAAAGAGCTCTAGTCCCAAACTTCACAAAAAGTTATTGAGCCCCAGTAGTCACTTTGTGTGGTTTCTAATCTTCCACAGTTCATTGCAGCAGTCTGGATACAAATCATCAAAGTGTACCTTTTGGTCGTTGCCTGCTGTTTCCCTCAGTGTTAAAGAGACGATCCCTTGTGTTATACCTGTTTGCCCAGGGCGGTGATGTCTCTCTCAAAGGCGGCGTGCATTCTGTGAAAGGACTCAGCTTTGCTGAAATCCTCCCCCACATCCTCAGGCAGCTCTTTCTGCTTCTCATGAATCTGTGTCACCAACTCTTTTCCATCATCAAAGTACCTGCAAAAAGTTTGGACCTTTAGTGTCAGTGCATTCATCATGAGCACCACATCTATGAGATGCAGGCAGCATGTCAGATATACAGTAGGGTGCCATCACATGCAGATGGTTTCAGTTTGATTTCATTCATCTTAGGGTGCCTTGCAATATTTATATTAGATTTGATTACAAGCAAAACTTCAAATAATTTCATTGAATGGATCAGAGAGACTTGTGGAGAGAGTTGTGGAAGAAAAAAAGGTGTTTATGCAGAATATCTTTGCTATTTTAATAGTTTTAATTTATGAATTAATTGAACTAATTAGATTAACTTTGACTAGGCCAGTCAAACACATGATGTGTTTTGATCTAAATGACATATTTGCAGGTCTGGCTTGCTTTGTGTCTGTTAGGAATCCAGTTTGTGTGGGTTGTGTTGTTTGTTTGTTTTCCCTCCACCACCAGGTGGCGCCTGGTTCTCGTTGGCCTCCTCAAACACCTGCGGATGGTTGCCTCATTACCGGAGGACTCTTAAGCTGCTGACTGCCACTACCTCGTCGCCAGAGTGTTTGCCAGTTTTGGGTACTCTAGCCAAGCTGAGTTTTGCTGAGTCAAACTGAGTTTTGTCACCTGAGTCTTAACCTTGTTGTTTTTTTGTCTTTGCCTCTCGGCAGGAAGACATCCTGCAAACTGGATGTTTTGGACCTTCTTTTCCCTGGAAGGATTCTCTGAGCGTCAGACTGAGCTGAGGATTCAAACTGATGGTTTGGATCTACTTTTCCCCAAGGATTGTTTGGGCTTCTGTCTGAGCAGGGGATTCAACTCCACAAGAAACTGTTCAAGTACCGCAGGAAATCTAAGTGGCAGTCAGCTCCTCCGTTCCTCAAGGAAACACCTCAACCTAGGGTAAACCCTGTCCGCCCTCCAACGAACAAGTCTATTACTGGAACAACCCACACCGACTGGAATCAACGAAAGACACCTTTTTCTGGAAACGTGAGTCCTGTTGCCTTTATTCCCTTCTTCAAATCAAAGACACAAATTTCCCACTAAGCCTGAACTAACCGCAGAATCTTCCCCTTTACTTTTCAGTCCGTGTTCTGTTCAGAGCAGCACTGGACTCCTCTCTACCAACTCACAATAAACCTGTTAAACCTTCCCCTGGTCTCTCTGTTTGGTTTTCTGCATGTGGGTCAGATCTCTGGATAAAACCATGACAGTGTCATTCTTACATTGCCCCTTTCTAACGTGTTGCATTCGGTGAAAAACAGTGCACCTTCTGTGTCCAGTTAGCCTTATTTTCCCTAAATCGCTGTGACAAACATCTGAAAGAAATTTCTAAGTACAAAGTATTCTTATTTCTATAAGGAGGTTCACAACCATAAATCATTTTGCTACGACATAACAGTTATGCACCGCTTTATGTTGGTCTGTAGCATAAAAACACAAAATAAACTGGGAGTTGTGGTTGTGACGTGTTAGAAGAATGTGTCTGCACATTTTTTTCCACATACTTGAGCAGGTCATAAGACGCCGTGAGGAGCTGGGAGCGGGTGTCGATGAGCTCCAGCAGATCAGCCCAGCTCTCGTTAATGCCGTCCTTCCACTCTGCCAGGGTGGCTGCCTCGCTGTGGCCCGTTTCAATCAGCTCATCTATGGTCTGGTTGACCATGTTCACCCGATCCTGACCTATCATCCCTGTCTCCCGTGCAAACTCTCTGAATTTATCCCTCAGGAGCTGAGAAGCAAAAAGAAACTAATATCTCTCATTTAATTATAACAGCATGGAGATTTCTTATTGTTCTTCTTGAAGAGAGAGAGACGGTGACGTTTAATATTTAAGGTGAGCAAACCCTAAAGTTATTTTTGTGATTTATGATACCGTGACGTGGTCCAGGTCTTGACCCATCTCCTGCGAGGACGCCGCCACGTCCCTCTCAGCAATCCAATGTTCCAGGTCCTCTACTTCTCGGCTTAGTAAAAAGTGATGGAAGGTGTGCTTCAGTTTCAACCTGCGGTCTTCTGCCAGCTCCTTCAGGCCGGCGTACTGCTTATCTACCTGTCCCTGCCGCCTTATGACCTCCTCACTGAAAAATACGCCATGAAATGAAAGCAGTGAAATGTTAGAGAAACTAAAAACCAGGTCTGACAGTTTGATTAAGTCTAAATGAGATACACATTTACACGCTTGCCATTCCTGCAAGCCTAAAACCACAACTGAGTAAATTAGGGTCGCTATAGAGTTCAAAAACGAACCCATGAGGATGTTCCTCTGCAAACATCTTTTGAGCACGGTCAGAGAGCTTCTGAATGGAATAAGCATAGACAGCCTGTTTCAGGATCATGTGGCGGTTCAGCATCAGCATGGCGGTCTGCTCATCCTGGAGGACAAGAAAAAAGCAAGAAGATGGTGAGGAAAGACGGGAGCGGAGTGCACCCATCAAAGCAAAACAAATTACTTCAAAATTATCTCTCCATGGAGGGTGCCACTTAAAGAAGCAGATTCTCTTAATTGAAGAGAACCCAAACCATGTAATCATGCTGATAAATTCATTACTTGGTATGTGAACAGGCTGATATGCCTTTACTTTGATTAGGATAATAAGATCTGATTTTTAAATATGTTAAAAAGCTTCCTTGAGTTAATCAGGCCATTTTATTGGCTCTTACACACACAGCATGTCCTCCTTTCCTAACCTTAGCCTTTTCATCAGCAATCATGTAGAGCTCCTGCTCTCCGATCCACGCCTCAGCCTCATCAGCATCATTGAAATACTGCTGGGCCAAGTTGGAGCTGCTCAGCCTCTCCCGTCGTTTGGCCATCTCATCCTGCAGCCGAGCCCACGCCTGCTCCAGCTCCTGCATCTGATCCCTGATTCGCTCCGCCTCCGGCCTATCCTCTGTGCTGGCAGCGGCCGCCATCCTTCTACCTCGCTCCAACACTTCGTCCACACGGGGCTGATGGCCCTCGACCTCCTTCTGCAACGTCTAAAGGAAGAAATTTGGGGACAGTAGATGTATCTCATTACACTGGTTAATAATACAGGTAATTTATAAAGATATATATAAAGAAAGAAACTGACATGTCAGTGGAACCAAAATAATTGAAATTTAGTAACTTTTGGCATCTGAAATAAGAATTGTGGTGTTTATATTTTATTAACAGAGAATTCATTCTCATGTCCTTCCTAACACTGCAAAAAAGATCTGGAAATAAGTAAAAAATGTTATTAAAAAAATTAAAAATCAAGTTTACTCTTAATTTGAACAGCTAAATAAGTTGATTTATCAATGGGATGAGTATTTTCACTCTTAAAATCAGATAATGTGATAATATTCACTTAAAATTAAAAAAATGCAATTTTTTTTTCTCATTTTACATGTAAATTCTCTTTTTCCATTGTTAAATTTGTCACTTACCTCCTCACTTCAAGAAAAACTTTTCTTTATTTAGATTTACATTTTTTGCAGTGAATAAATTGGGGTTCTGATTACTTTGGCAGAAATACTTGTAGTATATTTAAATCACACTGTTAAATCCATTTGTTAGTAAGTTGGTGATAAAATGAGTCATTTTGAATTTATAATAATAATAATGATAATATAAAATTGCGCAAGCTGGTCTTTATTGTTAAAATGGGCAACTCTTGGTTGGCCTTTCCTAATTGTGTGCGTTAGATGTTATTATTTTTCTCCACCACTTCAGAACTAAAACTTAACAGGAATCTTGACAATTGTTATAGTTGTTTTTTGTTTTTTTAAGGTATTGCAGTTCTAAGTATATATATGCAGCAGGAACAAGAGAAAAATGTCCTTTTGGGATTATACAAGCTGCTAAACTCTGGTCTGGAACATCAAATTCTCTAGGATGTGTTAAAGTGTTTGGTCTTTAGGTGACAAAATAACTTTCAACGTATTGTCTTTATATTAAGACTTTAAGAATTAGCATTGATATGTTGTAGTTTAGAGCACAGAGATTGCTGACAGACAGATCCTTACCTGGTTCTTTTTTAACAGCATCTGCACACTTTGAAGGTTGTTTCCGTGCTCCTGTGACATTGCCAGAGGCATCCTCTCCTCAACCCAGAGCTGAAAGACAAAGAAAGAACAAAAAAATGACAAGAGTATAAAAAAGTCAAATTAGAAAAATTGCTTCATAGCTCTGATCTGCACCAAATATATATCTATAAAAAAACTTTCTTAAACAGATTTATTGCTCCTTCACAAAGTAAATCAGATTAAGACAATAAAAAAGAAGACAGCAGATTTAAAAAGGATTTCTTAAAGATTGATGGTGAAAAACCTTTTTGAAATGTCTTAAAATGAAAGAAAAAAAGCAAACCAAAGTACCATCATTTAAAGAAATGTTATTCAGACAAGGTTCCTTATATGTTTATGTGATGAGACCATCTGGATGCATGCAAACGGCACGCAGGGTCCTGACCTGTAAGATCTGATCCCCTTCACTCCAACTCTGCGCTATTAACCATTATATAAAAGCGGGGAGCTCTGACTCTTTCATTCCCTCCTGAATGATGTCCATACTTACAAGCTCATCAGCCAGGTCTCTGTAGAACTGATGGACAGCCTTGGCAGCCTCCAGCTTGCCACGGCGCTGGGACAGCGGCGTGAGGAGCTGCTGGAACTCACTCTGCAGGGCTTGCTGCTCAGCCTCCAGCTCTGGCTGGTCCTCCCTGGGTCCCCCGTGCTTCCTGACAGCCTCTTGGAGCTCTTCCAGCTCTCGTGCCCGGTCACGAACCTGGTTCTCCGTCATCTGGCATGGGAGAAGGGGGTGGAAAGGAAAAAATAAATAGCTTTTCAACAGCCTCATCAGGATGCAGCGGCAGGTAAGTGCTGCCTATTAAGCATGAAACTATGCTTACCCACAGGATTTCTGAGCTCCTATAAAAGTTCTTCTATTTATTTATTATAAGTTGTGTTTAAGGTCACTTATACATTTTTATTTCTATTCTAACAATGAGGAATAAAATATGAATTCAATTAAAGCAGATTCTATGAAGCAATGACTGGACGGTGTTTATTCACCTGGTGGGATTTTAAACCAGACATGCTGATAGAAAGAACAGAAAAACAAAAAAATGAAGGATATACTCCATATTCTTATAAACATACAGACCTGGTGCTTTTTGAGCAGGATGTTGGCGTTTGTAAGATCCTTCACATCCTCATCTCCGCTCTGTAACTGCTGCTGAAGCTCAGCCAACCACTTCTTCATATCAGCCAGGCTTTGGTCGAAAAGCTCAGAGCGATTGGCGTCGAACAACAGCCGGTCCTTCTCCTGAGTCGTGGACTCCAATTTTTCCCAGAGCTCATGAAGCTGGGCCAGGCGCTCCTTCACTATTGGCTCAAACTCAGGCTTGGATTCCATGAGCTCCTGGCCCTCCTGAAACAACAACAAAATAAAAACAATAAGTTTGCTTTTACAGTTACCTATAGTTAAAAACCATTACATGCTTTTAGATTGAAAAACATTTTTATGATTATTGAGCCTTAAAAGTGCAAGACTTTAGTGATAATAAACAAGATACAATAAATTAAATCTTCAATTAAGTCTAGCATGAGACAAGAAGGTAAGTAGAGTAGCATGCTTTACATGGCAATAATAATAAATACATCAAATATACCCATGGTATAAAAAAACACAATAAAAGCAATGAAGACCAAAGTCCAACTAAAAGCCTGGAACCTGATATGAAGTTCTGAAAAATAACATCTAACTAAAAGTAATAAAGAGGTATTAACATATTTGCATAGGTTTACACTGCTTTAAGTAGAGCTAGAAAAATTTTAATCCTTCAAAAAAAGTTGTACCGTCACTTATTTTATAGATATATGCATGAAAAAGTATAATATTTTTTTTTTCATTAAATAAATCCTTTGAGATTTGGAATCTCTTTTACAAGGACGCCCTGGGTCTTAATGATTTTAAAATAATGAAACTCTGTGTCACTTTATATGTGATAAATCTAGAATAGGAGGATTACACTTTCTAAAATAAGTGATAAATATATTTTGGATTAAGTATTTTCAGAGGTACAGTTGTGTGGTATGACAGTTTTCTGAATTATATATTTCAACATGCGGCTAGTTTGGAAGACTGCAGGCGTTTGCCCCATTTGTTCGTAACCTTACCAAACACTTCCATAAACCTTTGCATATTTTGGTATGTGTAATCTGCATTTAACTTAATAAGAACTGGCATTTTAGCAACAAAAAAAAGATCTAAAAGGGATGAAACCTTTTCTTGTTTCACTGCAAGGCCTTTTCCCTGACAGAGTATAGATGGTTTAATTTAAAAAAACCCTATAATCTGCTGTCACAACCAATGTCAGGGCTTCAAAGAGAATATGAGTTCTGGCCACGCTTGATTGCCATATAAATACACCAAATATAGATACGCTGAAATACTCTGATGATATAGTTTTACTGGCAGGACAGGGCTGCACCCACATGGTGTTGGTGAAGTGTTCAATGGAATAAAAAATATTCCTTTAAGATAAATATGACTCAAGTCAAAGAAATGGTCTTTGAATCAAGTTACAGTTGGCATCCATATTGAAGGATGGTACCGTCCATAAATACTTAGAGGCCATAACTGATAATATGGTATTTTGGAAAATTTTAATTAAACTGGTCTGTAAAAAACATCATAAAAGATATATTTCCTTTGACATCTGCGATCCTGCAGAGCAAGCAAAGAAGTTCTTATCTTGTTTTAAACTTCTGTGATAATAAGAGTTTATCAGTACTGTAATACTTTGTGGTATACAAGTCTGTCCTTTGTTGAAAATATCAAATGTTTCATCAAATTTGCTCTAAAAAAAACTCCATGAATCTTTCTACAATAATAGAAATATGGTGAGATTAGTTAATAAAATTGCGTTAACCTCTGATGATGGCACATTTTAATAAGGTGAAACATAGAAATTCATCACATAGATCAGTCAATTGTGAGACTAAACTTGGATTATTAACCAGAAGAGATTGGGTGTTTATTTGAGTCTTTCTGTGTTTATGTCTGTAAAAATGTTGATGTGATGAAGGATGGACTTTAAATTAGTTCTAAAAATGAAGGAGTCTGAAATCCAGGACAAATTGGTTGCAGGCTGTAAGCCAGCTCTATCCTGACCTGTCAATATTTGTCTACTCTGTCTGGCTCTAGATCTGTTCTACACACCTTCACCTGTCCACCATCTTAGGTTGAGCTCACTGATTTTCTGTAATGTTTAGTCAAGGACTCTGGCCAGGCTTTTCGAAAATTATAAAATTATAGAGGGAATCCACTCCTCTAGGGTCGGTATGCTGAACATTTTAGATGTTTCTCTGCTTCAACACACCTTCATCAAATAATTAGGTCCTTTGCAGGACTTGACTTCAGCTGAGGAGGTAATCGAGCCATTTGATTAAGGTGTGTTTTTAGGCCTTTAATGACTTTTAAATTTCTACCTGAGATGCATGGACAATGTGATGCTAAAAAAAAAAATCTTTATCTTCAGCCTGTTGAAGGATTCAGATAAAAACTGACAGAAGCTCAGCACTACTCATAATTTCAACTACCCATGTCCTTTAAAGGAACTCCTGTGTATAATTACTGCCACCATGCTGCAGAGATGGTGTTACTCAAGCGAATGCAAGTGTTTTTGTATCAAACATGGTCTGGCAAACTGTGGCTGAAAAGTTGAGAATTGGTTTCCTCAGACAATAACAGATTATTTGGCAATGTTTGCTTGAATTTTGGCCAGCACAGTTTTTTTTTTATCTTTGGTAAATTAGTTGTTTTTTAAACTCCACAAATTAGTCCCGACATATAGGAAATTCTCCCAATTAGTACTAGCTAGATTTCACTGCGTATATCAGAATTCTTTCAGCTCATGTATAATATTTTACGTCAGGTTTAGAGATGTATTCAGTTTTGTAAATTCAAAGTTTCTCTAATTTTCATACAGTCTGTTCAAATTTTGCCATGACATAATAATTATGTAATGGTTTTTAGAGCTCTTCCCCTGACAAGGCAAGGCAAGGCAAGGCACGTTTATTTGTATAGCACATTTCTGTACATGGACAATTCAAAGTGCTTTAAAGGAATTAGATAATCAGGGGCGGAGCTAGATGGGGGGCTAGGGATGGCCATGCACACCCCCCCCCCCCCCCACACACATTAACAAGGGGAATATTCCAAATATTTAAATTTTCCATATATTACACATTTTTTTCATATATTCATAATTACTTGATAGCAAAAACACTGTGTTAATTATGCACATCAATATAATAACATTAAAGATGATAAGAACATAATTCCAGCTCTTTTCAGGACTAGATTTTGTGTTTCATGGGGTAAAGGGAAAATTACGTATCTCTGCATTCATCTAGGAGTCTTTAGTGAAATCATAGCTATAACTATTAATAACTATTATAATAAAAATGTATTGAACAATTAATTTATGTAGATATTAATACTTGGAAATATCAATTTTAAGCAGGATGATTATTGATAAAAGTAGTTAAGTAATGACAAAGGGAAAGATTTACGCCCCAGAAATCAAACCTGAAAGAATTGTATCCACTATACCTTTTATCTAGAAAGCACGGATGTTTACATATACAGTGGGCGCTGGTTGGAAATGGACACTTCACTCACGCTCCGCGTGTTTCACGTATTGTGTGAAAAACATGTGACTACTATAGCCACTAGGTGGCAGTCTGACTCCATTTCGGCGTCCCATGAGTCAGAATTACATAGGTCGAGTAGCAGACTGGAAGGGGTGTCACGGGTTGCGAGTTTATAGCGCAGAGGTTAAGCTGAGTGGTCTTTGGTTCAATAGACTGTGGGTTCAATCCCAGCTGTGGCCGAGTTGCCTTAAATGTTTTTTTTTTTTTTTATTATTATAATTATTATCGCTTTTTTATAAAGTAATGAAAGTTAGAATGTAAAGTAATGAAACCAGGTTTTCTATTTTTGAAACAACAATTGGAGTTATTCGTTGGACATTCACGCATGAGCCTGTATAAAAAGAGGAGCTGACCAGCTCCTTTAGTCAGAGACACCGTGTCTGTACGTTTGTGGGCCTGCAGTCAACTGAAAAGCAGGTTTATTGGGGATCTTGGTGTGATATTGTTCTATTTTATTTTGTTTTTGATTAAAATAAAGTTAATGAATTAATTTAACATTGGGACTGCATAATCTTATTTCATGAAAATATTTATAGATAGATTGATAGTAGTTATAGATACACCTCCGATCTTATCTGAGAACTGTTATTTCTATTTATCTGCATCGCTATTATTTAATGAAAAATAAAATTAATTAAAGCCACAAGTGGCATTGAGCGGCCCTCGCAGCTCGCACCGCCTGGTATGTTGCGACCGCGGGAACCAAGCGACCTCCACCTCCACGCTCCTTCCCAGCCTATGCTCCTGCTCTTCAGCCTATGCCTGCTGCTGCTTCTCTTCATCCTCCCCCTCCTTCTCGTTCTGCTGCTGCCACTGTTTCTTATCCTCCTCCTCCTGCAGCTTCTTATCTTCCTCATCCTCCTGCTAATGCAGCTTCTCCTCATCATCCTCCTGCTTCTGCTTATCTTGCTGTGTCTCCTTCTCCTCCTCCTGCTGTCGCTCTTGCTGCATCTCCTTCTCCTCATCCTGCTGTCGCTCTTGCTGCATCTCCTTCTCCTCATCCTGCTGTCGCTCTTGCTGCATCTCCTTCTCCTCATCCTGCTGCTGCTCTTTCTTTTCATCTCCTGCCTGCTGCTGCTTCTCCTGATCCTCTTCATCCTCCTTATCCTGCTTCATTTAATCCTCCTCCATTCTCCTT